CCAGTCCCTCGCGATGACAATAATGCTGGCGAAATTTCTTTCCGTCGTGGCGAAGGTGTTTGTATTGTTTTGAACGGCGACGCGATCGAAGCGTGGCGTGCTGGCGGCTGTCAATGGACAGCCCACGGATCACGTTTGGTGTCAGCTCGACTACTATTTACTCTCCAGGACGGTGACAGCGTCTGGGTGACAGTGATGAGTGCGTATGCTCCAACTTTCAGTAGCTCGAAGACCCTGAAGGAGTCCTTCTATGGCGCCCTTCAACAAGCTATCACTGGCGTCCCAGCAACTGAACAGTACATCCTACTGGGAGATTTCAACGCGCGTGTGGGTACACGTTTACATGCTGACGATGACTGGAGTTACGTGCGTGGCCCGTTTGGACATGGAGTGGCAAATTCTTCTGGACAGGAGCTGATGAGTTTCTTGCTCACAAATGAGGCAATGATTTGTAATACTTGGTTCCAGAAAGAATACGACACACGATGGACTTGGCAACACCCCCGCACCAAAACACAGCATTGCATTGACTACGTCATTATTCCAAGAAATCACTGGCAACGATGTTTGGACTCACAGGTTATACACAGTGCTGAGTGTGGTACGGACCACGCAATGGTCGCCATGCGCTACCGGATCGGTTTTATTCAAAGGCACCGTAGACCAACTAAACATGGAGTGCCGAGGTTTGATGTCTCCAAGTTCCGTGATACACTGGCTCGGGGAAGAAACGTAGACTGCGAGTTGATCCGGGAATATCAGACCAAGACGGAGACAGTATTGAATGGGAAGTTATCATCACCCATCACCACTACTGGGGAGCATTGGCATGTTCTCCGTGACACGCTTACTGAAGCGGCAGGGGATGTCCTCGGCCGTAGCAAACGCAGGCAACCAGACTGGTACGTGGACAGCCGGGAAATCATCCAACCTCTACTTGCCAGACGGAACGAGTTGTACTCCCGATGGATCAAGACTGGCCAGTCCAACAATCCAGTACTGGTAGAATTCCGGAGGGCTCGAGGAGAGGCCCGCGCCGCTGTGCGAAGGGCGAAAAATGACTGGTTCGTGGCCAAGGCAGCGGAGTTGGAACAGTCACGTTTCAGCTCAGCCCACGTATGGTCTTGTATTCACGATATGCAGGCCGCACGGCAAGGCTTGCGCAGTAAGGCAACTGTGCCTATACGTGATCTGAACAACAACATATGCAAGTCTCGAGCAGAGCAGGGTACGCAGTGGCGACGGCACTTTGCCAACATACTTAATGTCGCGTCCGTGTTTGACCCAGAGGAGATTGATCAGCTAGAGGCCAGGGATCCAGTCCCAGAGCTCGATGACCTGCCAACTGCTGAGGAGCTACAGCGAGCTATAAGCAAACTACGCAATGGAAAGGCGGCCGGTGAGTCAGGCATCCTACCGGAGATGATCAAGTACAGTGGCCAGAGGTTCAGTGAGTCTCTGTTGGAACTCCTCCATCGCGTCTGGAATGATGGCACAGTACCGCAGGAATGGGTCGACTGTAATCTTATACCCATTCCCAAGAAAGGCGACCTGAGTCGCTGCGATAATTGGCGAGGCATTTCCCTCTTGGATGTTGCCGGTAAAGTACTTGCCCGCATTGTGCAGACTCGCCTGCAATCTATGGCTGAGTCCTTCTTACCAGACACTCAGTGTGGTTTTCGACGAGGGCGATCCTGTACGGATATGATATTTGTGGTCCGCCAGATGGTGGAGAAGGCATTTGAACATCGAGGGAAAGCTTTCCTCCTGTTCATCGACCTCCGCAAGGCTTATGACTCTGTCAGTCGGGATTGCCTGTGGCGCGTACTGGAGAAAGCTGGTGTTCCTCCCCGTCTCCTATCCATTGTTCAGTCCTTCCACACCTCTATGCAGGCTACAATTTGCGTTGATGGTGATAGACTCGATCCATTTGCTGTGAGGAATGGCCTCCGTCAAGGTTGCTCCATGGCTCCCACATTATTTAACATCTTCATGTGGGCAGTCTTCCAACGGTGGTATGCCCGCGTCGCAGATATCCCCGGAGCTGGTGTTCCGATTCATACTAATGCAAGGCAACGTCTGTTCTTCCGACGACACCGCACAGACACTAGACGTTCCATCCTTGACTGCCAATTTGCAGATGACTCTGCCCTGATGGCCACGCGTCGGGAGGCAATAGAGACTTGCCTAACGGCATTTGTTGAGGTGGCAGGTGCATTCGGTCTCAAAGTTAACCTAGAGAAAACCAAGCTCATGGTCACCGGTCATCATGTTACTGAAGAGGATGTGCGCCCGCTGATGTTGAATGGCCATGCGGTGGAGGTGGTCTCTGAGTTTCGCTACCTCGGAACTAATATCCACGCTGATGGCCGCTGCTCCCGGGATATCGAGTCCAGGATAGCTGCTGCATCACGTGCCTTTGGCGTTCTGAGTCGCCCAGTGTTTCGGGATAACAATCTAACGCTGGCCACCAAGCGAACAGTGTTTGAGGCGTGTGTGCTGAGCTTGCTGCTGTATGCGTCTGAGTGCTGGGTACCACTCCAAGCCGATATTGCCAAGCTGTCATCTTTTTACATGAGATGCCTCCGCACCATCATGGGTGTGTCACGCTCTGACGTCTGGGACTTCCACATCAGCAACACCACCATCCTGGAGCAGTGGAATGATGCCAGACCCCTGCCCATCAAGGACCGGACTGTGCAACGCCGTTTGGAATGGTTTGGCCACGTTATGCGCATGGATATGGAACGGACACCCCGGGTTGTTCTGTTCGGCTGCCGACCGGAGACCCGACCTGCATGCGGCCCACGAAAGCGCTGGCGAGACGCTCTGAGTCCGGATCTACAGCGATGTGACGTACAGGACTCTTGGCCAGAAGATACCCAGTCACGACCAGGGTGGAGGAACATCTACCGTGAGCTGGAACCAGCTTCGTCACCAGTGCGTAATGTGCAATGTCTTGTCTGCCGACGCGTATTTAGCAGGCCTTCGGACAAGCGCCGTCACAAGTGCTTGGATGAAAGGGCCAAGCCCATAGCAGAGCAGCGCGGTGCAGTGCAATGTCCCCAATGTCAACGGTGGCTACGCAGCCGTGGTGGGCTATCGCGGCATAAATGCACACCCCATGATCCTCAGCCCCGTGAAGACCATCCCCAAGCTATTGCAGGGGACTGTTGCGCAGCTCACTGCCCCACATGTGACCGCTGTTTCGCCAGACCGTCTGACAGATCACGACACAAATGCCACCGTAGTACGCATCGCCCGACTGCAGCAACACGATTGACATTTGAATGGTCCTGCCCCGACTGTGGCCGCCGTTTTCGCCGCGGGAGCGACCTCACCCGACACAGATGCCGGCGACCTCCCTCCTCCCCGGTTCTCTCTTAAGGAGAGCCACGTGGCCCTTGTGGCAGTGCTGAACAGGAACAGGAACAGGTGTGTGTATGTGTGTGTGTGTGTGTGTGTGTGTGTATGTGTGTGTGTGTATGTGTGTATGTGTGTGTGTGTGTGTGTGTGTGTGTATGTGTGTGTGTGTGTATGTGTGTGTGTGTTTGCAGATGATGCAGCACTACTTGCACCATCCCGTGAGTCAGCTCAACTGGCTTTGGAGCTGTTCAGCAACGTTGCTTCTTCCTTCGGCTTGACTCTGAGTACAGCGAAGACCAAGTTCATGGCCGTTGGTGCAAATTTATCATGTGCTGACCGCCTTCCGCTCTTTGTTGGTCCGGAGGAGATCGAAAGTGTCAAATCCTTTGTGTATCTTGGCTCTGTGATAACTGCTGACACCCGCTCATCTGCAGATGTGGCCAGAAGACTCGGTAAGGCAGCGGCAGCTTTCGACCTTATGCGCCGTGTCTTTCTTGACCGAAACCTTTCCATCGCCACCAAGCGCCATCTTTACGATGTTTGCGTTCTGTCCACATTGCTCTATGCCTGTGAGTGCTGGACTCCGCTGAAGAGAGACATGGTTGCCATCAACAACTTCCACCACCGCTCCCTCAGGTTCATTCTGGGTGTATCCCGGCTCGATCAACAGCTGCAGCATGTCAACAACCAGGAGCTGCGAAGACGCTGGGGTGATATGGCACTGCCATCTGATACCGTCAGACACCGCCGTCTGCAGTGGCTTGGGCATGTCGCCAGAATGCCAGATAACCGGCTTCCGAAGCTGATACTGTTTAGCTTCTTCTCAGATCCACGCCCAGCCTGTGGGCCACGACTGCGATGGAAAGACCTCGTCGCACGTGATCTTCGTTTCGGTGGCATAGTGAATTGGCTCACTTTGGCTCAGGATCGCCCAGCATGGCGCGAGGCAATTGCAAAGACTCCGGATGATCTCGTGGAGTGTAACAACAACAAAGTCACCTGCAAGGTTTGCAACCGATCATTCACTGCTCGTGGGATTCACCGTCACAAGTGCTCAGCTGTACGGTCCTTACCTGTTGCCCAGCAGCCTGGGGCCCGTCACTGTGGAGTTTGTGACCGCTGGTTTCAAAGCGCTGGCGGTTTTGCAGTTCATCGTTGTGTGGAGCGTCAGACATCGGACGAAATACCAGCTGTTTCAACGAGATGCAGCCTGAATTTGGACTGCTGCCAGCACCATTGCTCGATCTGTGATCGCTGCATGAAGAGTCAGGCTGGTTTTAACCGCCATAATTGTACTCGAGGCAAACGACTGCGAAAGGACCAGAGGACTAATCTGCCCATTCAATGCAGCATATGTAACGAACGATTCTCCCGCCCGCAGGACCTCACCCGCCACCGAAGACAGAAACACTAGCTATGTGTAGAACGGTCCCCTTTCACCTCAATTATTCTCCTTGTTTCTTTTTTCTCGCTGTTGTCTCCCGCTTCTGGGAGCGACGTGGCCATTTTGTGGCAGTTGTACATAGTAGTAGAAGTGTGTGTGTGTGTGTGTGTGTATATGTGTGTGTGTGTGTATGTGTGTGTGTGTGTGTGTGTATGTGTGTGTGTGTGTGTGTGTGTGTATGTGTGTGTGTGTGTGTATGTGTGTGTGTGTGTGTGTGTGTGTGTGTGTGTATGTGTGTGTATGTGTGTGTATGTGTGTGTGTATGTGTGTGTGTATGTGTGTGTATGTGTGTGTGTGTATGTGTGTGTGTGTGTGTGTGTGTGTGTGTGTGTGTGTGTGTGTGTTGCTATGGCTTCTGCTGTAGCATCCCTATCATCGCCTCCGGCGATGGGCGTCAAATGGTCAAATGGTGTGTGTGTGTGTGTGTGTGTGTGTGTGTGTGTGTGTGTGTGTGTGTGTGTGTGTGTGTGTTGCTATGGCTTCTGCTGTAGCATCCCTATCATCGCCTCCGGCGATGGGCGTCAAATGGTCAAATGGTGTGTGTGTGTGTGTGTGTGTGTGTGTGTGTGTGTGTGTGTGTGTGTGTGTGTGTGTGTGTGTGTGTGTGTGTGTGTGTGTGTGTGTGTGTGTGTGTGTGTCTATCGGTCTATCCTCGGTGTATCGCGGATCCAGCAGTGGGAGGACAGGCTCACATCGGCAGAATTGGGCAGGCGATTTGGCATGTCTCTTGACATCTCCGATTTGCTCCGACAGCATCGTCTGCGCTGGCTGGGGCACATTGCCCGTATGGAGGAACACCGCACTCCGCAGCAGATGGTATTTGGCGAGTTATATGCCACTCGCCCCCGCCACGGTCCGAAGAAGCGATGGCGTGATGTTGTTGTCACTGATCTAGCTGCGGCCCAGATCGGAGAGGGAGAATGGTTCCGTCAAGCCCAGGATCGCCCAACCTGGAGGCGGTTGTGTCGTCAGCAGCCTCCTCCACCCGGACCGAAAGAGTTCCGTTGCGCATGTGGCCGTCCCTTTGGCCGCATTGGGGACCTGAAGAGGCACGCCCCCCCCCCCCCCCCCCACTGCCGCGTCTGAGCCATCATCGCTACGCGATGGGCGTCCAAGGTCCAAGGTGTGTGTGTGTGTGCGTGTGTGTGTGTGTGTGTGCATGTACATGCGTGTGTGTGGGTATGTGTGCATGTACATGTATGTGAATGTGCGCTCGCATACATTCCTGTCGTGGGTGAACAAAAACGGAAGAGAGAGAAAAAACGTGCTTGTGGTCGTATTATGTACAGTCATGTACATAGTACAGTCTTCTATACAATCATTGTGACTTACTTGAATAGTTGGTGATACCCGAAAGAAAAACAGGCGGTGGAACAGAGCGACGGGCAAACCTGCAATGAAATTGCAATCATATGAAACAGCGAAGTAGGCGGTGAGAATCTTCGAAAGGAAGACGTATCATCAGGGACTTTTCGAATGCACTCACATGCCACCATGCAAAGGAATAGGTGGACGACATCCGTGGTTTCTCCAGTCAGCTTCGACAGTGGCTGCACCACTCGCTCGTCCCACGCCTCCATGCTGACGACTGCAAATAATTAATTAGCTGATGGGCAAACAGCAGACTGGTGCATATACAAGAAGGCCTTTCCGTCTGTTTCACCAGTCCACCGAAGACAGTGCATGCATGCAGTGAAGTCCTTTGTTCACTTCAAAGACTACAGTAGAATCGACGACGCGAGTTTTTTTTCTTGTGAAGCACTGAACCAAATCCTGGGGCGCGCTCTGACCCTTCCAAAAATGGAGGTCATCCGAAGAGATCTCGAAAACCATCCGAAACAGGCGGAAGTTCAAATCAGGGAGTAGTAAAATACCGGTATTTTACTACTACCTGGTGCAGAGTGCACTCTTGCGATGTATGGCACCATAAACATGATAAATACGCATGTTCAACGCGAGATAGTCTGGGTCAGGGAGTCCTACACATACCCGGTATGTGTATTTTGCCCGTATAAGAGGCTTGGCAGTTGAAAAAAAAAAAAAAAAAAAAAAAAAAAGTATGTGTAGGGCTCCCTGGTCTGGATTCCGATATGGAGCAGGGAGTCAAGTACTACTAAAAATAGTAAAATACTCCCTGGTCTGGAGTATCTGGTATGCAGGGAGCGCTACAACTACGTAGGGCTCCTGCACCCTGGTCTGGATCATTCATGGAGCTGGAGGGTTGCGGGTTATGACTGTACTCTTGCCCAAGAGCACAATTTGGGGTTATGTACTCTTGACCAAGAAGAGTACATTTGGGGTTATGTACTCTTGATTGGCTTACTCATAGTGGTGAAACGAATGTCAAAACCTACTAGTCGAATATTCTTCAGCTTAACGAACGAATGAACGAATATTCTTTTGGTAACACAGATCATATAGTTACATCACATGCCCTCCTCTCAGTCATTTGATGGATATTGTCAATACTAATATATTATTAGGTATCACAAACGGTAGTGCCACGTAAAATATACTGCCACATAAGGCTACTTCGAAGTTCATAAATGTTATGTGCAACATTGGCAGTCCAGTATGGACATACATGTGCATGCATGCAGTACAAAGTCACAGGCAGGCTGTACGCACTGCACTGTACCGTGTTCGGCGTCCATGTATGTACATGCACTGCATTCGAAGTGACGTAACGAATACTCGAATGTGACTTGACGAATATTCGAATGTGACAAACCGAACGAATGTTCGAATATTCGAATATTCGTTTCACCACTACTTACTCATGATACTAGTAACCGATGACAGGATTATTCTAACATCAAGCATAATTATTATTATGACGGATGACCCAAAGGCAATATTACTCCCGCCAATACGCATACGGTACAATGATTACAGTATGATTCGTAGTGATTGTACGCAAGTAGGATGAGCATGAGCAGGCCTTGTAGTCCGCTCCGTTGTTGATAATTATGGTGAGCACATTGGTTAGCATACCCCATGCCGGGTCAGTGAGACGACACTATGGGAACACTGCTGGCCGGAGGCGACATGTAACCAGTGGAGTAGTAAACCAACAGTGAAGAAAAGGAAGAACGTTCGGCACAAATACACAATTTGACGCGAGGCTCAGTCAAGAGTACATACTGCGGCAACCTCCAGAGTCTGCAACTCCACTCCCAGTGCCGCCTCGGCAGCATTTCAAGTTAACGGGCGTCATTTCGATGATGCATTGCAATGCACGGTGCGCACGTGCATTTTCAGACGTGTCCTACCCTGGCCCCGTAGACCGATGGCAGACACATTGCCATTTGGTACGGTACAAACGTGTGCCAGCAAACACGTGTGGCGAGCTGAAACCTCTGTACAAACGTCGGAAATTGAACCTGCAAGGAGCATTGCATCAGGACAATGACGTCAACTTGAAATTCTGTCGGGACAGCTCTGCTGCATGCGGGCAGTTGCACATCGTGGGGTGTTATGTATTGTACTCTTGGTCAGACTGCATTCACATTGCCACCAAATTCTACAGGGCTAGCCCATACATACTGTAAACGGATAACACGAGCGGAGCTGCATATCTTTAGGACATATTCTTCTCCTGTTCGCAACACTGTTTCGCCGACATACTTGACACACAACATACATGTACACGACACTGGATCTCATGATTCACAACACCACATACTGTAAAAGCAGAAATTTTCGGTGGTGTAATATTTTCGGTATTCTCCAAAATCGGCGGTTCGGTAGAGGGAAATTTTCGGAAAAACCCGTTTTCCAGGTAGGTGTACTAGTACTGCATGTATACAGAATCGGTTGTACCGACATTTTCGGTGCGTTTTATTTTCGGTAAAAATTGTCGGCACCGAAGTTACCGAAAATAAAACACCACCGAAAATTTCTGCTTTTACAGTACACCATTCAACAATAGATACCCACTTCGGCCAGAATCCATCAGAACTGTGGTTGTAAACGTTTTTTTGTGAAGTTGACAACCAAGGTGTGACGTTCACAATGAGGCCCAAATCATATCATCTAAAAACACGTCATTCTTGGCTCAGTAAATGGGCACAGCTGTTTGAAAAGAACTGATTGTGTCTTGCAGTATTACAGTTCTGGATATGATGGCATATTCTAAATCCATAGATTGCGCAAAAGGCACACTAGCACGGTGTCCAGCACCAGCACTACACATCAACATAGAAAATTCAAAATTTTTGAATACCGGTATTCTATTAATTTTGTTCTATTTGCTTTAAAAAAATGCCAAAGAAGTGCAGGTTGGCTAACACCCGGTAAATCCAGCGGCAGATGCAATGCCTAACAGTGGGGGATAAGTCTCTCGCCAAAGTAAGCAAGTTTACTAGCACTAGGCAGTCCAGGCTGCTGTACCAAACATTCGTATCATGGATACTTCTGACTGGAGTTTGGCCAGTGTCGATACACCGGATACAACATACTGTTAAGAATACAGAATGGCCAGCAACCATCGCACGCTCCAAGTCACTGGTGCGGGTACTCACCGCGAGATATTCCGCCTTGCCAAGATGTCCCTGTACGATGCGGACGGTGCGGTGTTGCGGCGCAGTCGGGCAACAAAAGAGTCAAAATCGGAGAAATTGTCAGCGGTGATATATCCATGACGGACAAGAAAGTCCAGAATGACAATAGCGCAGTTGGGTTTAAACTCTCCGAGGCTGATACGCCGACACACCTCTGCAAGTGGCCAACAAAAGAACTCACTGACTTCTCCGTCAATGATTGTCGGCGTAAAGCTGGCTGGTAGCTCGATATCAAATACATACTCAGTTTCTGGAAAAAGGCCACGCACCGCATCCTCGTAGAAGTAGCTAATGCAGCCGGCCGCAACAGCCCTCTCAGCGATATCAGCCGACATTCCGGCTTCCTCTTCTGCCTCTTTTATCACCGTCTCCCGCACGCCCAGTCCATTTCCAATGCCACCGGCAACAATCTGATCCAGGAGGCCTGGGAAGGTTGGCTTTGTCTTGGCGCGACGTGCAATCCACATTTGCATCTCCTTGCCATGCTCAGTTTCTACCCAAATATATCCATTCACATGAGCTCCATACTGCTTGATCCCAATCAAACCGGCACCAGATCGCTCTATACCGAACTCTGGCTCTCCAGAATACGTAGCTGATGCCATGTATAACTCGTTCCTCCATGCCTTCAGTGGCGAGTATTCACCGCTGTCCCTTATCTGCTCACACACTTTTCTGATGGAAGCATTTCGCCCCTCGCGGGTGCATAGATCAGTGTTCAGTGTCACATAGCCAAGTGGATATTCATCCGTCTCCGATCGGACAATGAACACATCATTGTACTTTCCTAGAAGTGGGATGAAATTACCCCTTACAAATCCAATAACAACGTCATTTAGTACAAATGGTCGACAATTGAGCACTGATTGGCCAAGAAAGAAATTATCACAGCGATCCAGTGCCTTATCAACGGCCTCCCTAAATTGTTCGTCGATAGCTAACGACGACATCTCACAAAATCAAAATACTGCTAAAGAGTACAATTTCCCCTCTTGTTTGTTATACAATCAGGGATTTATTTTGCCTCCTGCCACAATCAATAATTTATTATTACTGTACGTACGTGTATATTATTTTTTGAACACAGCATTTTTTCATTTTTGAAAAGAATGATGCATGACGACTGTCTACATCTGAACATGGTGAGGTCATCATGGTCATTGCGATCGTCGAGAGAGATCGAGAGTCTTATTAAATTTTTATGTTGCCGAAGTACTGATGGAGCTGGTTTCTCGTTTAGCTCTCCAGACGCACACTCCTTCCACCATGTCTACTGGATGCTAAAATGGAGAACGACAAACTGAAGAAAAAATTCAAGTCTGTTCGATCTAAAAATTCTCCTCTTTATCTCGACTTGGTCAATTTACGATTGGAGCGGAGATGGGACGGTCTAGATGCGCTTCTGAAAGTCCGTACCAAGTTTGGCGACTCGGTGAAGTACCTGGACCTTGCTGATGTTGAACGATCGCTGGACGATGTGTTCCTTGCTGGAAAGCCTGGGTCCAAATTTGAAATTCCTGAATCCTCTCAAGGTAGCATGGAGGCGACATTAGATACGCTGAAAACTTTGTCAGAGCCGACCAATGAAGAAATTGACTACTTTTTGCTTGAGGCACGATTACTGCAGGCAAAGGTACTGTTTTTACTTGGCCAACCCTCCGAGGCACTTGCATGTCTCGACGCGCTTGATATATCTGACCTGCAGCCAGAAAGTGGCTGGCCAATTCATGCCACTCGCCTAGTTGCGGAATGCTTATCACTGAAAGGCTGGGCTCTTCAGCATCTCTTGTCGGAAAATACGGAGTGGCGCGAGCAGGCACCCAGTGCTCTCACCGCATTGCAGCAAGCCGTGGATGTAACCTTTGTCTACCTACAGGAACTGTCTGTCGCTGTCAGCCCGAGTGTGCTGGGTGGCAAGCCGGCCAATGCCAGCAACATTACGATCAGTTCGTGGCTGGAGGCAGCCGTACACCACGCGCCGCTGATGCATCTGCTGCTCGGGCGCACGGACGGCGCCATCCAGGTCTTGCGCAACATTCTGCGGGTTTCCGAGAATCAGTTCTCCAAGGCATTGCGGCTCAGTGCGTCTCGTCAGCTAGCGTTGCTGCTACTAAGAGCGCCACACTGCTATACACCGCCAGACTTGTCGCCGACATCACACGTGCCATCACTAAGACTGCATCCGGTGATAAGCCGCCCGAATTTCTTGAGTCCGGAGCATCAACCCGAGGAGGTTGTCCTCGTCCTGACGATCGCCGAAGGACTGGTACGCGAGGAAGCCGTGCAGAGTCGGTTCCCTGACGACCAAGATATCTACAAGCAGTGGCACGACCAGGTCGCAGCCGTCTACGATCTCGCCGTTCTTGCTCTAGCCATGTTTGGTAAGTCTAACCTCATCGAGCTGCTGCAGCAGTCCATGCGCTTCTCCTTCGATGACGAGCACGTCTGGATGCAGTTTGGCCTGGCGCTGATCAGCGGCAGGCAGTTTGAGCGTGCTCTGATGGTGCTCAAGCAATGCTTGCAGCAGAATCCCGACAACACGGCGGCAGCGCTGCTGGTCTGCCAACTGAGAATCTACGACCTACCCAATGGCGACGAAGCAGTTGAGTATGCCAGCCAGCTTGCTGAGAAGTGCCCTGAGATGGCTAAGGCTCACGTCACGCTTGGTCTCGCATATGCCGTTCAAGCTCGCCAGCCAACAACGCACACGCACCGGGAAGAGCTCCTGCTGAAGGCCATGGAGTCGTTTCGCAGGGCCTACGAAGTGGATCAGAACGACCCAGCCTGCATGCTCTACTACGCACTGCATCTGGCAATTCAGCGTCGTGTGAACGACGCCATGTTGCTTGTCCTTGACTTACTGCAGAAGAGTCACATGCACCATCACGGCCTCTGGCTAATGATTCTCCTACAGACCTCGCTGAAGAATTATGCCGAGGCGCTGAGTGTGTGTGAGCAGGCACTGTATGAGTACCCTCAGGATATGGTCTTTGTCAAGCTGAAGGTGGAGATCAAGGCAGCCACTTCTGGTGTCTCCACCGCCCTTGTAACGGCCAAGTCCGACCTCAACTTCGACGCGGACGTGAAGGGGCCACCAGAGTCACCAGCGTCCTCACGGACACCGTCAACAGCAAGCAGCTGCTTATGGCTGCTTCTCACTAGCCTGTTCTTGCGCAATGACCAGTTTGAGGATGCTGCCTCGTGCTTCAAGCGTGTCACTGATAGCATGTCACCCGACAGCCTCTATTATCGTGGCCGCCTGCTGGCGCACGAGCTGCGACTGGAGGACGCCAAGACGTCGTACCTCGGCGCCTTGGCCACGGACCCAAGCCACGTACCCTGCATGCTCGCACTGACCGAGCTGCACTTGGAGGAGCAGAATCTGAGCATGGCCGAGCAATACATCTCACAGGTGCTGGCCGTTGACCCTGGCAACCATCAAGCCTGGCGCCAGCGCGGCTCCGTACTGGCCAAGCAAGGCGAGCACGAGCGTGCCGCCGATTGCTTTGTCAACGCTCTTCAATTGGAGTCGTTCGCTCCCATCGCTCCGTTCAGTGATATTCCGTTGAAGTTGTGATCATTTCTGTTGTCTTTGAGTCCCCGTGGAGAGTGTACACAGACTTGACTCTGGCTGCCGTGGAGGTATGTGCCTAAAGAAAGAAAGAAAAACACTAGTACTTTGTTCCTTAGTTTCCCATTATTTTACTTTATTTTTAGCCTTTCCCGCGTTTCTTTCCGAAAAAGAAATCTGTTTAACCAGGAGTGCGGCGTTTTACCTGCTCACTACTCTCTCTCTCTCTCTCTCTCTCTCTCTCTCTCTCTCTCTCTCTCTCTCTCTCTCTCTCTCTCTCTCTCTCTCTCTCTCTCTCTCTCTCTCTGTGTCTGCAATTTCTTTCTTTAATCTCTCTTATTCTAGTCAGACTCTATCTGGTGTTCTTGTACAGTGTAAAGTATTGCTACTTGTACTATCAAGAGTATGTAAGGTTATTATACTCTTGGTATTATGCTATTTGATTCACAGACTTTAGCGCACAGTCAACTGCTGGTACGCAAACTGCTAACTATTTTAGTATTTTGATCTTTCGATTTCTGCCGATTACCCGAGATTGCAGCTAAAAAACGTAAAACAGAAACATTTTACAGACAGCTGAGACGATAACCATGCAACCATTTCATATTTTTATCACTCAACAATCAACATGAAACCGTCTTTTCTTGGTGATCTTACTCTTGAACCTTGTGTATGTTCAATACCGTTCTGGATGCTGCAAGAAGGCCTGCCTGCACCAGAACACTATTATCTTTTTTGTTTTGACTTGCCAGATTCCATCTTACATGTACATGTGGTTCAGTGCAACTCCAACCGCACGTGCGCCTGGGTATGCTGCTCTTGTAGCATCGTGCACTTGGCCAACGGAGAAAGCATGCTCACGATGTGAAATCGCCGCAGGAAGGTCTTGCGAGCCAGTTTCTGTCGAGCGTCAGCCAGTCAGTGCGTATCGGAAGGGTGATGCTCCTGCTTGCGAACGCGCTTGGGAAGTAAGGGCATGGTATGCATCCGAGAATTCCGGTAAAGATTGCCAACTATTACTATTAGTAAACTACTACTAGTATACAACTCCCTGGTGACCATGGTGATCACTCAGTGCAGCTAACAAGGCAAGAGTGCATAAGCAGTGGACTCCACTTATAACGAACTCGCATACAGCGAACCAGTGACACTGACGATGACAGTCTACACAGTCATGTCATGTTTGACCTTTTTTTTATAGCGAACAGTATGAGTCTCGAGTCAGCTGACTGTGCACGTGTGTCGTGTGCGTCCTCGTATCGCTAGCATGCTGGGCACATGGCACATGCATTTTTCTCATCGATCATCTCGCTCAGATCGATGCACATGCTGCATGCATATCCATGCAGTACATGTATTTAGTACAGTGGAAAGAAGAGAAAAGAAAGAGAGCCATCTTCGAGTCGAGTCGCCTGCTTGCATTGTATGTCCTATAGCATATTTATAGCCTAGAGAGTAAGAGTGATCTTCAAGTGCTTCTTCTTGCTGCAGTACGGTTGTATTATCAGTGACGCCTTGGCAATGGAGCCTTCAGACGAGAAAATATTGGAATCAGTGAGAGGTGTGTCAAATTCGTATTTGGAAATCTTTCATACTTGGCTCTGTCAATTTTTCAGTGAATATGCACGTACACCTTATGAAAATACACTCAAGTTGTACTAGTACTGTATTGTTTTGCTTGGATATTTTATTACTTGGGCAGGGTATGTGGTTTTCATGCATCATGGCATGACATGGCATTGCAATGTTTTTGTTGTGAATTCTATTATTGATTGATTGATTGATTTTTATTTAAGGATTGTCCAAAGGCCGCAGAGGCCTATCGAGGGGCTCTCCTGTGTACTGTGTAAGGAAAGGGAGGAAGAGAATTATGTCACTTCATCTGTGCATGTGCTGCTGACATACGCGTATACTGTAGTAAATAGATAAAATATAAAGTAATGGCTATCAATAGAATCAGGTGTACTGTCATGACTCATTGGGGAGGTTTCGCTCTACGTAGGTACGTATGAAAATAATGTATGAACTGCACGTACTTTCATACGTAAAAATCCGCGCTGTTAGGTTTCGCTCTACGTGATTTCTCCACGGCTGCTAAGCATGCCTTGTTGCGTTGGAGACGCGTCGGCTGCATGTGCCTACCGCATGCACCACGAACCTAAACCACGTTCTCAATTTCCTTTTCCACATGCGGTGGGCGTTGTGTTTCGCGCAGCTTGAACGTTGCCATGGATAAATAAATAAATTAGTTTTCAAAAAGACCTACGGAGGACCGATCGTATAGCGTAGAAAAGTGCTTTCCTACAGAAGTCCATGGAGAGATTTACGTATGAAAGTTGCCCTCGCTCCCCGGTGCGTACGACATTCGGATTTTCTTACGTAATTACATAGAGCGAAACCTCCCACTTGTAACACACATACGTTCAAACAAAGTCCAATTAGAGTTGTTTGAACGTGTGTGTGTGTGTGTGTGTGTGTGTGTGTGTTACAAAGACAGCACAACTGATTTTATTGATAGCTATTATCAAATTGTTGTCTCCACGGCGTTTATTTGAATAAAAAGTGTGAGGATCATGAGATCATCCAAGCGGAAACTCGATGAAAGACCAGTCAAGAATCCAGAACTGTGACTGGGTACATTTTCTAAGTTTATGCGTATTGGCCAGGTCTACTAGGCATAGGGCTTGCTCTCTTGGTCCTCTATAGGTTAATGTTTGGCAAGGCAGTAGCATCCGGTTCGACCATGGCCGTTCCTCCTTATTTCGAACAAAGGGGGGGGGGGGGAATAGTTTTCAAGGATATTTTGCTTTGGCGGAACTTCTTGGTAACAGAACGTTGTGTAATTGATGGTAAAGGATTCAAATATTGCAGCCATTCACATGTGTGTTGAGGGGGGGGGGGGGGAGAGAGAGAGAGAGACTTTGGAGCCAAATCCGGAATAACCCCCCCCCCCCCCCCCCCCCACACACACACACACACAGTACAAATCACTAGTATCCTCTGCATGCGCATGCATGGTTTGTTTGTGACTTTCTCCACTTCAGACATTCTCAAGGATGCTGATCTTAACACGATATCTGCCAAGAAAGTGCGCAAGATGCTCGAGGAACAATTCGGCGTGGACCTTACAGAGAGGTAACATCATGCATGAAGCCAGGCAGAGGGAATTGTTAGGGAGGACTGGGAACATGGGAACGTTTCAATGGGTGCCCACTGTCTGATGTCTACCCATGTCTCCTCACGCTAAGTTCCGAGCCGAGCTAAGGGATTGGTTTTGCCGTGTTTTTGTCTTTCTTCACATGAGTCTGCTTTGAGCTGCCTCGACTGACCTTGTTTGTGACTGAGTCTTGTCGATGTGCTGCCCATGTGCTGAGTGGCTTGTGCGTGTTCTCTTTGCTGGCGTTGTCCTTGCCGTTGCTGGTGGGCTTAGAAAGGCATCAATCAGCACCATGACCCTGGATGTTGTAGAGGAACTGAATGCAGCAAATCAATCGGAGGACGAGGAACAAGAGGAATCAGCTGACGAGAGTGAAGAAGATGAAGTGGAGGATGTTAAGGTACCGGTACCTTTTTTTTATTTTCTGAGCTTATACATCAATGGCGGATCCAGGATCTTGTCAAGGGTGTATTCCCCCCGCCCCCACGGCCCATCTTGGATCAGCAGTGAAAATAATCATTTTTCTTACCGTTTGACATTCTATTACAATACTTATGGAGAATCAGTGACCTATTGGTTTCCAAAGTGTGTGATCTTGGGCCTCCTGGAAGCTGTAACAGTAAGGAACAAACTCGGCCCGAATTGATCACTGGGGGGGGGGGGAGTCAGCAAACAAAGCAAATGTTGCCCAAACGCACAGCGGAGTCTAGCGCCTTCAAGCAAGTATTTTTATCCGCTTGCTCATGTCAAAATCATGTAGGCTTAGTGGCAGTCAACGAAGTGTGCATGAAAAAGGAATATGCCAGTATGCGGTGGATTGTGCAATAAATTGCCAGTGGCAATCATTGCATGCCCAGTAGCTCAAAAACCATTCATCCTACCATTTCCGTTGCATACTGATAGTTTTCTCCTTGTGTTACTTCTGAAGTACCGAGCGACAATTGATTGAGTTCCAATCGTTTTGAAAATGCCTTGATCACAGTACGTCTAACAGCACCACCTCTCCAAATGACAAGGAGTTCGTTTGACGAGAATGGTTTGTGTTGTGATTTGTTGTGCAGCCTGCTGTCAAGCGGAAACGTAGTACGAGCAGTGTCAGCCCAGCCAAGCGTTCCAAGCAATCTGCGCCCGATAGTCCTCTCAAGCGAGGTGAGTTTTTGACCAGCATTCTAACTAAACCTTTGTCAATAAATGCTTGGGTCTCTACTTTAGCTTCATGTACTGGTATACCTGAAACATGTCTGTGGCTGTGCATGTACTGTGATCTGTGAACTACTCATAGAAAGCTGCTTCACTGTTTGAGTCCATACTGTTTTCTGTACATCTGCTGGCAACAGATTCTCAGCGTGTCGGTGAGGTATCCGGATAAGCGAGGTCTGACTGCGCCTATGCAGAACTGTTATCTTTACGTTATCTGTTCCCAATGTACATACTGTCACTGTGTGTGTGTGTGGGTGGGTGCGTGCGTGCGTGTGTGTGCTCTTGCCGACTGAAGCCTGTGCGGCCAAGCCGAAGAGTCGGAGAGTAAAACGCGACGAAGACGGCGAGGAGAAAAAACGCTCCGGTGGAGGTAAGCTCAGCAGTTTAGCTTTTGATTTCTGTTCACTTGGCGGTGTGGTTTCCACCTCATAGCTTCCGTGCACCCCAGAAGAAGAAGAAAAAGAAGAAGCTGGCCTTGTTGTCAGCACGAGTACACAACACCAAAGTGTTGAATTCTGCATGTGGGGTATAGGCAGAGAAATTTGTTGTTTGCTACAGTTTTGACGACTCGTTGTAGACGAGATCCGCAATTCTACTGCTCGCAAGTCAGCAATTCTGCTTTGTGCTGCACCGCATCCATGCGGTCTGTGACATCGTTTTTCACCGTACGTTCACGTCAAAAGTTACGTAAACGACGAACGGTGCTTTCCTGGTTACTGTCTGAGATGCTACCTCCAGTTTATGTACTCTTCTTGTTGTCAGTGCTAGGCGCAGTGGGGTTTCATGCTGTACGGATGTTCTCTTGTGTGTGTGTGTGTGTGTGTGTGTGTGTGTGTGTGTGTGTGTGTGTGTGTGTGTGTGTGTGTGCGTGTGCGCGCGCGTGCGTGCATGTGGTGTGTGTGTGTGTGTGTGTGTGTGTGTGTGTGTGTGTGTGTGGTGTGTGTGTGCAGCATACAGTAAGGTTCTCGATTTGTCGCCGGAGTTGGCAGAACTAATGGGTGCAGACAAGGTGAGGGAGAGAGCGAGAGAGTGTGATGTCAGTATACTGGGTGACCATTGGGTTTAGTTTACACTATTCACAGCCGACTCTGTGTATTCATTGTGGAATACTTAGTAGTTTGTCTGATCGTGTATTCGAAACTAACCCTTACACACACACACACACACACACACACACACACACACACACACACACACACACACACACACACACACACACACACACACATGCACACGTTCTTTCTCATACCTCACATCAGCCATTACAAGTGCAGGGTTGGCTGCGGGCAGCCATATTGCATTATTCTTCAAGGGTAATATCGATAAAATTCTATGGAATAGGAAGGTACTGAGCCTTAACCAGTAACAACAACAGCAAAAACGAAAAAAACAACAAAAAAACAAGCCTGCCAACAGCTGGCACCGCACACCGTAATTATATTAGTAAGGCAAACATAAGGGCGGGTGGGTGGGCCCTTGCAATGCAAGACAAAAAAGAGACTGATTCAAACTGTGCAAGCGCTTTTTCGCGCTTGTGCGACCTTCTGTGTCATTACCATGACACCAGCATCAAAATTAAAAAAAACAGAAAACACGCATCGGAGATGTTCGTCGTTCGAAAGAACAATGCTTCTCGTTTATTTCAAATTCAGCCAACGAGAAGCATACACTTCTTTCTCATACCTCACATCAGCCATAACAAGTGCAGGGTTGGCTGCGGGCAGCCATATTACAAGCTGACAAAGCATAGCCAAAGAAAAAGAAGCACAGTTACAAAAGCTTACTGAATTGACTGTGCAACAGCTTGTGAGACTCTCAGCAGGTTCGGCAAAGACTCAGAAAAGTATGATCTCATGCCGGTTTCACTTCTCCATCCGCCGTGGCGTTGGACGAGACGATCAGGCACACCTGCTGCAGCTGCTTCTGACACTCCCCCAGAACGTAGGCTGTGCACGCCGTACCTGTCCGGATCATCTCCGATGGCAGCCAGTGCTGCTCGTACTAATTCCCTCGCCCTGGAGTAAGACATGCTGTCTCTGACTACAGGCCGTTGTTTATGTGATTCGCTATCTTGCGGCATCACCAACATCATCGTCATCTTCATCACCACCACCAACATCATGTGACCAAGCCGCTTTTACGGGCAACAATATTATGAATATAAAACGCAAGGTATTGTAAGAGCAATTTTCTGAAAATAATGTTAAAACACGAAATATAAAAATGCATTATCACACCGTAGCCACTTTTATGGGCAAATTCCAATACAAGGCAATAAGAAAACGAGGATGAAGTTAACCTTTTAACCCAAAGAAAAGACAAAAGGTGTCAACAATCGAACTACAAATATAAAAAACAAACATCAGGTCATAAAAACTACTTTAAAACATAACCAAATGACAGCAAAGCGTGGAGAATGAGAGTGACTTACAAAACAAAAGTAGTCCTACTATGCTTACAAAACAGAATCTACCTACACCACTAAGGAAGAAACATTAAATGATTGCAGTCTCACAAACACCGGCCTCTATCTAACGACCCATCAAACAATAACTCCTGAAATTCTTGACTGACTTTTTCTGGTAACATCACCATCATCATCATCATTGCTCGACTTGCAGGCAAGCCACGGCGTAATGAGCTGACCGCCTACAGCGGGGGGGGGGGGGGGGGGGGGGCTCCAGGGCTCCAGTTTGGATGTGTTTCTGGCTCCGGAGCCTACGCACAACTGCAACAACATCAAAAGACACATAGGTACACAACTGCCTCAGCATGTGCACTGTCTGTACGTACACAACCTCAGTGCTAACACCTTGCACTTAGGAATCCCTTCCCCGAACAAATTCCAGGGCCAAGTGCCCTGCATAAATGTGTCTTCCCTCAGAGGGATCTCAATGGCTTCCTACACCCACGGACCCCAGGATGACCCTCGGGACAGCAATGGCCACCATGGGGCTGATACCCACTTAGGCACAATCAGAGTTGCATGACATTCGTAATATTTTAACCATTTGAATAACTCTGCCCATGAGGTAAAGGGGGGGGGGGGTGAGCCAAACGTGTTCTCCCTCCCATGGAAATGTGAATGCATCCACCGCAATACACCCTGGGTTCCACCACCGTGAACAATATCGGTCGATTTTCTTTGTGCTCATGCTGGCAAAACAATCTACGGTATGTGGACCCCATTTGTCGTCCAGCCAAAAAATAACTGGATTGATACTCCAGTCATCAGCATCCACAACTTTGGAAAAATAATCAGCGAGCTCATTTTCCTCGCGGGGCACCCACTCCGCCACAAGCTGGATGCCGTGCTGTTGGCAAACCCTATGGATTGATAGAGCCACTTCCTGCAAATGCTTGCACCTACTGCCATTAATGAGGATATGCACAGCAGCCTGGTTATCACTGCGATGAATACAAGTGCAGCCTTCAATAGCAAATGCCAGGGACTCCAGAACCAATGCTGTTCCATGCCTAGAATTTCAACTCTCTGAGCAGGCGTCCAGCAGCATTTTTTCGGATGAGGGGTGAAGCCTGCTGAAATTACGTCAGCCCGCATTTTCTCTGAGACCTCCACAGCACCTTGATACGACTCGTGCCCCCCCCCCCCCCCCCCCCCCCAGTCCCGTCATCCATATACAGTTGGCAACGAATACCCTGTCGTCTCCAGTGAGACAGTAACGGCTTCGTCAATTTCGTGAAAATGTACGGTGCAGTGGAGAGACGAGGGTAGCACGCAAAATTCAAATGCTTTGAAATGACTGCCAATTTTGCAACGAAATCCAAGATATCTGCAATGTTCTTCCGCGATTTCAATGTGGTGATAACCTGGTGAAAACCTGGTGATAACCGCTTTTCAAGTCCAAAGTAACTACATAGTCGCCACTCCTGAAAACATCGAGAACGGTTTTGACATCTTCCAGTTTAAACTTGAAATCTGCAAGGTGTTTGTTTACATAGCGCAGGTCAACAATCAGTCTGAGTGTTTTTGCCATTATCCACCACTCCTAAAGGGCTATACACTACGGAGTTGCTCGTTTCCCCCACACTGCCAATGCGCAAAAGGTCGAGAACCTCCTCCTGTACAAATTTCTCATGCTCTATCACACTACTGTGGTTCCTCAACTGCCTAGTAGCTGGACAGCACTTGAACGGCACCACATACCCATTCATGATTACATTCAGAATAAATTTTTTGACGCTCCAATCTGTTTCCAAAACTCCACATTCCTGGCCAAATTGCCCACCACTACATCAGTCAGCCCTGCCCCTTCCCCTTCCTCTTCTTTCATTAACTGAGCAACGAGATAGTTTGAAAACTCATCTTCCACATCAACATCATCCTCCTCATCATCATCATTCAAAACAACACCGTGAAACTTAGCCTTTTGCGTTATGTAGTTTTTGGCAGAAGCGGACGAAGTGCCCGGCTTCACCACAGTGGTGGCACACTGAGGTAGACTGCCGGGTTGCTGGCCTGCCGGGGGGCGGTGGCACTGCGGCTGCTGCAGCCTGGCTAGGTTGCTGGCCAGCACTCCAAGAGCTGGCTGATCTTGGAGCGCTGGTGGTCCGAAAAGGCGGCTGCTTGGCCTTCACCATCACCTGGGCCTTCGCACTCGTCTGTGACGCTTCCAACGCCGTCCGGAGGCGCTTCCTTTTGCCGGAGTCGGACAGCAGCTCTGTCAGGTCGTCACCCTCAGCATATCTGGTGGCGGTGTCGTGCCCGTGGCAGTCCGCGATTACCAGCCACTCCAACCTATCCTCCAAGTTGGCCTGCGCCTTGGCGATATTCTTCAGCGCCTTCTTGGCCTTGCCAGCTTTCACGTACTTTTTTGCCTGGTCAAGGCGATCAGCTACCATAGTAATGCAGTCATATTGGTGCTGATAACTGGTCCGGTTCAGCCTCTTACCAGGTACTGGCTTCTCGCGTTTCCTCGCCGAGGACTTGACTGATTTCTTCCTCTTCCCCAGGACGCGCTCTGGCGACGATGAGGAGTCAGACGATGACGAAGACTTGGACGATGACGACGACGACGACGAGGAAGAGGGGGAGGCCGACCGGCGGCGTTTCCCCCTTTTAGCCGAAGGACCTGGCGTTCCAGCAAGCGCATCCTCAACTCCACCTCGTCCTGCACGGGGATCTCCGTGCTTGCTGACCTTGACCTTGGCATGGACCTGGACCTCACGCTTGGTGCCATGATGAAAAACTAACTACCTTGAAAGAATTTTTTTACCAAAATAAACTTCAGCAGTACCCTTGCAATGCAAGACAAAAAGAGAGAGAGACACACACACACACACACACACACACACACACACACACACACGCGCGCGCGCGCGCGCGCACACACACAAACACACGCACATATGAAGCAGTCATTGTCAACTGCTTGGAAGTACATGTACATGTACGCACATTGCATGCCCTGTCCTGCATTCGAACTTTCCTATCCAGTTGTCCTGATCTGGAAAGGTCTACCCACCCAACCACCCACCAACCAACCAACCAGCCAGCCAGTCTCTGGCCTGGTAACATGCTGGGTTGTGCATGCCTGCACAACTGCAGACTCGTGTTGTGGCCCCTGCTCCCACGTCCTCTATCATGAGTATGCCTGCACAAGTACATGATTGTATCGATACCTTTTACAATTTGGCATGTTCTGAGTTATGGACGGGCTCTGGTCCTGGGTGCGCCGGGTGCAGGGAGCTGGCGGTGTTCGTTGCACTGGGTAGAACTAGAACCGGTATCATTGGTGAATACTTTGTCCACTTCATGTCACGAGTCACGACCGAAGGCAGCAACTCACGCATCTGATTCTCTTCATTGGGTGTGTGCAGATGAAACGCTCAGACGTGGTCAAGCAGATGTGGGCCATCATTAGAGAGAGAAATCTAAAGGTGGGTCCTCCTAACCTAGGTCTCCTGCACTCTCCAAGGCACAGCAGTGTACTAAAACTCATTATGCACAGGTGGTGGTTGCATTGTAAAGTTTGGTTCTATTCATTTAGCCCTGGTCATACCGGTAGTGACTAAGCCTCTACTGGCTCTTAAACCATTCCTATATCTCGACACTCTAACAACTGGCTGTAGTGTAGGCTACATGTGATACCAGTGTGTTTGACGTATCACGATGCAGAGTGCCGTGGAGTTCAGTCACGCTTTCATTGTACTGTGCTATTCCTGTTACGACAGTGTGATTGTAGTTCCAGCTTTCGTATTTGTCCTTGTTGAAAACAAGTGGCTTCTGTGGCAAGGTTCTGTCTGTTGAGCTACTGGCCTTTACAAGCGAAACGAGTGCACATGTATGTTATGGTGCGTATATGAACGGATATGAATGTTCGTAGCGGTAGGTCTAGATTCACCAGCGCCACACAACGACACACGTGTTCTTTTTTACAGTACTTCAAGTACATGTATTTCCATGTTCTCCGGTGTGTAGGACCCGAAGGATGGTCGCTATCATATCTGCGACGATCAGCTCTTCAAGGTGTTCGGTGAGTACTCATTTCAGAAGCTGTATTAGAGCAGTGCCTTGTGTACTACCTGCCACTGCTACACATCATGTCAACGACATCACCAAGATTAGAAATATTCATGAGCTTTCCAGGCAAGCCGAGAGTGGCTTTTCTATTCGGCCACGGGCAGGGGAGGGGAGGAGGAGTTGGATGTATTTTTCATGCAGCATGATTTGGCCATGTGGATACCCAGTGTGCACAGAGGCTCTTAGTGATTGCGAGGCTCTTATTGATTGCAATGACCTTACATGTAGTAGTCTGATGAGGAGGAGGCTGGTATACAGCATTCAGGAGATGTTCACAGTTACACGTGTGCATTATCAAGCCTCTCATGTCATTGTCAGCATTTCGAAGGACCGCTGTGGAAGAATGCAGATTGGACGACACGAAACGAAAGTATCGCACAGATCAGCGCCGCATAGCTTAGTCCTCTGGGCGCTGAGTTGAATGACTGTGGCTTGAAGAAGCTGCTATACAGAGTTACGAAATTGATTTCGCTCCAAAGCCGTCCGTTTGTGCTTTCCAGCAGTACATCCTGTATGGTATTGCCATCATCTACTTCAAGTACTTCGAAGTAATTCCAGGATGTGGCAAGAAGTTTGTTCGAGAATATCTGATAAATGGTGCATCGCAGCCTCCTCGGACCAGAGCCATTCGACTCAGTGCCCACAAAACTACAGGCTGTGGCGCCGTATACATGTGTGTATGCATTCTGTGATATGCGCATGCAGGTGTGAAGCGAGTTCAGACATTTGGTATGCTCAAGTACCTGAAGAAGCACATGACGTGATGGCCGCAATCTCCACTCTGGGGGGCACAGCGCCCAACCTATGATTCTTTGAAATCTCCATGGCAATGGCAGCAGCAGCTTGGCTCCTCACTAGCGCCACGATCAACGAAGTCGACCCAGTGTGTTAGGATGTGTGTACCTCGGTATGCAGCACCCCGCACCTGTTTTGCTGATCTGCACCCGTTCCGAACGCTGCATTGAGTTACAGCAGGCGACACTGCTTGCTTTTCTCAAGCACTACTGCTACCACGGGAGAGAACTTTCAATCTCGATTGCTATCAAGTACCAGCAACCTTTGGATTATGTTGTCGAGTTCCACTTCCTGAGGATGCCTGCATGCTCGTGTGTGATTTGTAGTTTCGTATGAAGCAGCAAACTGCTCTATTGTTGCAGTAAGTGCCTCTCCTTGTCCGCTGTGCGTTGCCTCTGCTAGAGGCATTATCTCGTGCACATGGCTGTCTGTCTCCCCCGCCCCCTCATAACTCAGTACATACACGTCAATGCTTCCGCTGGACTGTCAAGATAGTTGTAAATGGCAACGATCACATGTCTCGTCCATTGGCCATCAGTCCGAACCACCCCAATATGTTGCTAGTTTCAGTTCCTATTTATCGCACCTTGATTGTTCCTGCTGGGTCCCAGCAGCATCATCGATGGTAATATTGGTGTTGTGTTGGGTTTGTGACTTGTCTTGTCATTGCGGTCATTTTCAGCTATGTTTTACATAGATATGCTTATTTCGGCTCTTTCAGCTTTCTACTCAGAGCATGGTTGTACTTTTGTTTTGTAGTACGGTAGTTTCAATTCCCTCAACTAAAGAAATATAGATAACAGAACTTAACAGAACAAGTTCTGGTAAGAACTAAGTTGGCCCGGTCCTGCGTGTACTCTTTGTAATATACAGGTGTGCTTGGCTTGCAACAGAATAAAAAAAACCCAGGCGCATGTGTTGAATCAACGGAGAAGAACGCTTCAGTTCTCTATGAAATTTTTCATCTCCTTACCGAAGGACGCTCTCTCACCTATTACTGTGGCATTAAAAAAAATCGTTCTTGAATTCTTTCGTCAGGAGATAACGAACATGTGATGAACAAGAGATGAACATCAATCACAAACCATAAATACACACGCCGACAGCACAAACATAGGCGCTGGTTGCGACATAAACAAGTACTAGCCAGTGAGACTCAACACGGTGCGTGACGGTGTGTACAACAAGTGTCACCAGACACAGCAACTGGACACAGAGACGAGTTGAAACCGAGTCCGATTGGCCATCCAGAGTTAAAGCTGGTCTCCTACGATAGGGTAGAAACAATTCGGCAGGCAGTCTTTTTCACGTGTCATTGATCAAGCTCAAGTGCCTGCTATATTAATAGATGCAACCAGAGTCGGTGCCTCGATAGATCAGCTGATGCTGAGTAAACAATCTTCAGAAGACCAGTGCAAAAGAGATAGAAATAAGATAAACTTTATGGAAATGCAAGTAAACATAATGTACTCGTCGTGTACCCAGTCTACAAGTCCAGTTCTGCATGGACGGACCAACTCCAAAATTGAGGAAATATGATAAAAGGACTCCCGGTGTGAGCCAATACCTCAGTGGGTGCCACGCATGCACCGCCTTCTTGTTCAGTGGTGACTAAGGTGGCTGGCTCGATCAGCTTGAAACGTCGCCTGTCCATCCCATCGCTTTGGACCAAGGGACAAATCAGCACGCCGATGACATGGCATTGAGCCGATTGATGCAATCAATGGGATTCAAGCAGCGACTTGCGGTCTATCCCGCTAATCCTTCACCGACACCTGGCGTGGCAACACAGTACAATGATACGAGCCTCTAGTCAACACGCCACATTAGAATGTGACTGCCATCGGTGTCAAAGCTACTCTCCTCGTTTTCCACCATGGACGAGACGTGGAAATCTTCGCAGCCGTCGCCTCCAGCCACTACGATGGCTTCCACCTCGGCAAGAGGCTGGTAAGCTTCGGCGGCGACCATGGGTAACGGTTTCTTTGCTCGCCGTATGGTGTCGTGATCGACGAGAAACATTGACGAGCGCATGCTGTTGGAAACAAGAGACATAACCGACGGTGGAGGCAGCCCTGGCGGCGCTGCTGCTGAAGCTGACGGTGCCGGCACCTCTGCACATGCCTCGCTTCCCTGAGAGTTGGAGCCTACCCCGTTGCCACCGTTTGCTTGTGAGCTGCTTGCAGTCGCCGGACGTTCGACAGTGGTGATGAACCGGACTGGACCAGTGTGTCCGTGGAAAGAGCCATGGCAGCGCAGTTGAATCACCTCGTCGCCGTTGGTCGTCGAGTCGTCCTTGTCAGCGTGCAGGGCCGGTACGAGCAGCACAATGCCGGCACTGGTGCCGATCCAGACAGTTGAGCGGTACGAGTGCATCACCGTGATGCGCAGGCAGCGTGTCTTGTGCTGCTTGATAATGGAGTTGCAGCCTGTGCATACATAACCACACATGTGTGTCCGAGTATGGCGCGCGCACACACATGCACACAAGCATGCATACACACAAGCACGCACATGAAGCCGAAACACACATCCATACACCCGATGTGGCACACTAGAAACACGCTGATTCGCAAGTCAACACAAACACCAGACACCCAACCTTCCACCAACTTTGCAGGAGACGACGACAGCAACAGCTTCCGTGCGTTCGAATGCACCGTTCCATTCTATTGCATATTGCTTACTGACTTGTCAGGCGCTCATAACCCAAGTACAGTCAGACCTCGTTTATCCGCTCCTCTTTTATCCAGATCCCTCGCTATCCGGAGGAAAATCTCTGGCAACCGATTTACAGCATATGTTATGCATACATACAGTATGTGTGTTCGATTTTCCGGTTCCCTCGCCTATCCGGATATTTTGTGGAAAACGGATGTGTGCGGATAAGCAAGGTCTGACTGTACTTGTAGTATAGTCGTTGTGTAGGTCCCTCACCTTGAAGTAGATACTGCACACACGGCTGTATGTTGACCTCTGCTAGCAAGCGATGACTAGTGGCATGATAGACGGTCACCACGGGACTGGTGCTTGTAGCCACGTACACGGCATTCTCGTTGCACACCATGTCGGTGATCTGCGCCGCTGTGTCAGGTGACTTTGTAACACTGAACCATGCCTGCGGGGATGAATGCGACAACGACGAGGGGGCACACAAGCAGAGCAACGATGTTCATGGACCCTTATCTTACTACAGCACCCTGAGTCCCCGACTGTCAGTTCAGGTTAATTCTGCGAGTAGTTATTCAAGGGCGGTTCACATGGTTCATGGACCCTTATCTTACAACAGTACCGTGACTGTTTCCAGGTTAACAGCGCTATGGACTGGCCACTGGCTTGCTTGAAGAGTAGCAGGGATGGAAACACATGGGGGATCTTACTTTCTTTTTTTAAGTGCATGTTGTGACAGCCAACCAACGCTGTGCAGTCCATCAACCGGTACCCAGTCCCTTACCTCTACCTCCCGCTCTAGTGGGTGAATGACATGCACGCACTTGCCAACACCACACCACAAGTGCCGGTCCACGACCGTCATGCAGGTCACCACCTCTTCAGGCTCTCCCACGTCTATCAGCTCAGCCGACGACGTGTCCCAGTTGCCATCTGAGGGTAGACGCAATACAGTACAAACGCCACGACAGTCGCAGCAAGTATTAGATCTTGATATCCTCTGCCTTCCAGTTTGAATGCAATCATTGAATGGTAGCACTGCACAAAACTGGTACGGCACTTCAGTACCAATTCCAAGGTATATAATATGCATAAGATGATAACAGCACTATACAAACACCAGCTAATCACCTGCCCGCTAGTATTCTCTGCATTGCAATCCATCTATTTTCTCCTAGACATGTTCTCCTTCAAATAGGCATTCCAGTACTGAGTAGGTAGAGTCTACATCAAGCAAGAATGAGTGTATACAAGCTACTTGTACTTGTAACTGGTCAAGTCACTGACAGGGTCTGTGCCACACATACCGGTACTGTAGAACGGGTAATTTTAGCGACGTAAAAACCCTAGAGAATTTAGCGATCGACTCCTTTTCGCTAAAGTTTCAAGTCGCTAATCCGTTGAGACATTAGTAGTGCACTGGTGATCCGTGAGTAAAATCGCTGCAAATCGCTAAAATAAAACGTCGCCAACCGGTTGACAATGGGAAAACGCTAAAATTAATAGTCGCTAAAATTACCCGTTCTACAGTACCAGCAGATCCAGTGCAATGTATGGAGTATGTAACCGAAAATCTGGAGCCATACATGACTCGGAATATAGCTCGGACGGCAGCGCACAGTCCTAGCACTACAGCACGGGCACTGGGCTACATGCAGAACACAAGGCACTAATAGTTATGAGGCAGGGTTTCATCAAGCATGTATGTGTGTGTGTGTGTGTGGATTTTGTGTGCCCTTACTCAGTCCACGGCAGAACTGGAGTAGCTGACCTCCTTCCAATGACACGAACACACAGCCATCCATGTAGCTAAGAAAAACACAACAGAAATAAAAAAAATAAAAAAGCTGGGTTGAACATCTCATGCTTCCAGGACAACTCACAGAGCCTCAATTCCAAGATTTAGCACCCACACTTCCACAAAGAGTTGTGTTCGATACGCTCTTGATGCACTGTGACGTACCACACAATCCCTAGTCAGTGCACAACACAGCTTGAGAAATAACTATGTGTGTGCATGGCCAGCCAGGAAATACTTCCCCAAGCACAAATCCTATATTCTCCACACTCAGTACACCAGCATTGAAGCGGTACAAACCAATCGTGATCAGGATCCCGGGAGGGGCGGGGCAGGGCAGTATTCACCGTGCGTGCAGCATTGCGAATCTACTAGCAGCACATGTACGGACAATTCTGCATAAACCATACCACATGCACTTGACATTGCTGGAGAGCTTCAGCACCGTCTTTCTCTGGCGCATCTGACTACTGTCGCCAGCTCTGTAGATGCACAGTCTGCAGCACAGAGCGAGAAACAATGAAGAGAACAGGATTCCGGCGTCACTTGGTGCAATATGAGTACAGTACTTCAAGTCAAGTAATAGCAATGCAGACGACCACATGACAACACTTCTTGTACTCCAACTGAGCACAGCATACCTAAAGCATAATAGAAAATCATAAAGAATTCAGATGGTGAGCCGGTGAGCCAAGGAAAAAATTGCAACATGCTAGATTGTGCACGTCTGACTGTTAAACATCTGGTTTAGTTGGTGGGCTCGACCGCAGAACTTGTGCTCACATTTTCCATGAAAATCATACAGCTAATTCTTAGTAATTTCTTACAGTCCTTGACTCATTGATAGCCACATGGTTGGGTTGTGGTCAGAGTTGCCATCGCCCTCTGCATCCGACGACGATGCATTCGAGCCGGCTCCGGAGGAAAGGTTCGTGTGCGAGCTGATGATGACCTGAGGTAGGGAGCGACTGCGGTGCTTGCGGGCTCTCCGACTGGCAAGCTGCAGTGATTCAGTCGGTCTACGTTGCATTACACTGTGGTCAAACAAACAGCACAACATAGCAGTGCTACATTAATTTGCCACCTGCGCGTTTTGAGGTGACAACAAATTGATTTAAATTGCTGTAGAAGCACTTCGGTAGAGCCACAATGCAGAGCACCGATAGGTTCAGCAATGTCTCATGCCAGTATCATACGGTTTTGTACCGAAAAAGAAACATTACTATGTCACATTGCTCATGGATGATCACACGTGGTCTACGTGCCCAAGTAATCAGTTGTCCAAAGACGTTTGTTTGGCAAGAAGTACATGATTGTATACTAATCGCTTTACATTACACAGATCTCAGTCTAAAAACTGATTTTGAAACTAAAGGGCATTGTCCAGTCCAGGAAAGAATGTGACATCCACAAGGGCAAATGCCTTCGAAATGGCATTATAGGACTCATGAGCCCCCCCCCCCCCCCTCCTTTCTTTCCCCGAGGCAAACACACTGAATTGTATGTATAAGCGAAGATAATCACGGTTCCTCCCTCTGATCTTGTTATCATAAGCGATATTTCACCGGTTTACAAGCCCAAAATCAAGCATGAAAACCTGACACTTCAGTTGGTACAGGGTGGAAGTCATAAACATACAACACGCCCATGCTCACCCTATGCTGTGACGACTAGCAGTGCTGCCACTGCGCTGGACGTCCGCCTCGCGAGACAAGATGATGGCCGGGCTCACCGACTGGCTATCACCCCTGTCATTCAGCGTTACGCCACTGTTCGTCACTGAACTAGGCAATCCTTCAGTTTTCACTGGGCGAGAAGCACGGGCAAGATAGTGTGCTGGGCTATTTTCAAGATCGGTTGATGAGGCACTGCCTGACTTTGTTGCACGCAGGGGAGGCTTTCGCACCTAAGGATAGGGGAAAGAAAGGACGAACTGTGCAGTTACATTTCTTTGATAGAATATTTCAAAGTACATCCTGGGGAAGAATTTCGAAACAGGATATAATTTGGGCAGAATCCACCCCAGTCCATTGTCGATTCTGCAGGACAGGAAGCAGCTGCAGTGACTCAACTTCACCCGCGTACACAGTGCATTGCATGTGTGCACGTAATACAGTCACCTTCGCCAATAGCAACCTCAGCAAGTTGTAATGTAGGAGTTGCATTTTGATATAAAGTATATTTTTCGCAGTAAAAGAGTATTTATTTGTAGAGCTTGTGTTGATACAGATTCCTAGGTTCAAACCCCAAGATGGGTAGTTAGTTACATTTTTCTCTCCTTGCGTATTTTGTATCTGGATGTTATTACCCTTTCCATGAGTCGCTCGTGAGTAATGTATGAGTCGTGTATGGCTAAACCCGTATTTCCCCACTTTACCCGTATGACTGTCTGTTGTGAACTGTGATTGGCTGCTAGTGTTATTGTTCTAGAATATTCCAGAGCTGTGAACTGTGATTGGTTAATTATGCTAATGTTCTAGAATTTCGTCGGCGACCGGTTTATATAGATTGCTGATTCGTTGATGACCTAAAAACATGGCTGCCGCTCGCCGTGTGTTTTGTCTTCTTGCATTGTTCTTTTCTTGTGCTCTTCCACTTCTTATCTTTACTTGCCGAGTGTGCAACTAATAATTCTGTCCTAACGAGTATTCGTGAAACCACAAAGTGAGTGCTTTATTTGAGTGTGTGAAATTGTCTCCGAGGGCCAGCTACTACATTGGTGGCAGCGGTGGGATTCGAACCCACGCCTCCGGAGAGACTGGAGTATTCGTGAAACCACAAAGTGAGTGCTTTATTTGAGTGTGTGAAATTGTCTCCGAGGGCCAGCTACTACATTGGTGGCAGCGGTGGGATTCGAACCCACGCCTCCGGAGAGACTGGAGTATTCGTGAAACCACAAAGTGAGTGCTTTATTTGAGTGTGTGAAATTGTCTCCGAGGGCCAGCTACTACATTGGTGGCAGCGGTGGGATTCGAACCCACGCCTCCGGAGAGACTGGAGTATTCGTGAAACCACAAAGTGAGTGCTTTATTTGAGTGTGTGAAATTGTCTCCGAGGGCCAGCTACTACATTGGTGGCAGCGGTGGGATTCGAACCCACGCCTCCGGAGAGACTGGAGTATTCGTGAAACCACAAAGTGAGTGCTTTATTTGAGTGTGTGAAATTGTCTCCGAGGGCCAGCTACTACATTGGTGGCAGCGGTGGGATTCGAACCCACGCCTCCGGAGAGACTGGAGTATTCGTGAAACCACAAAGTGAGTGCTTTATTTGAGTGTGTGAAATTGTCTCCGAGGGCCAGCTACTACAGTAATAACAACTCGGGAATAATGACACTATCTTCCGAGCTGCTAACCACTTCACTATACATACTTTCAACCTCGCGAATAGCAACACTTGTCTCACGCCCAATTGAGTGTTGTTATTCGCGAGGTTGACTATATTGACTGAATACCGCCTATCTTACATGCACATAGTAGTTACAACATACCTTCCTGGATGGTTTCAAGAGATTCTGAACAGCGCTTGTCAGCCGCTTGCCACCATGCGCCTCAAACACATCCTCGGGTGATTTGACGTTCTTCAGCGAAAGGCGCGTGGGAGATTCGGCCGGTGCGGAGAGGCGGCGAGTCAGAGGCTTCAGACGCTTGACAGCAATCGGCACACGTGCTGTTCCCTTTGCGCTTGGAAGTTCCAGAGGCTCGTCCCTGTCGCTCGTGCTGCCGTCCGGTCGTAACCTTCTGTTGCCGCACGGGATAGCAACAGTATCCGCTTCCTCGTCATCACTCAGGCTCTTTCTCTGCAGCAGTGGCTTCACCTCGGCCAGTTCGTCTCCAGCGCACTCCGGACCAGCTGGCTCGGGCTGGAGCCACTCATTGGAGCCGTCTTCCTTTGGCGGTGCCTCGAGCAAGTCCGACGCCGTGGACAGTAACGATGCATGGCTGAGCTGAGCCTGTAGCGGGGTGCTGCTACCCTGCTGTGCCTGCAAGTGCTTTAGTAGCTCTTTCATCTCGGGGACCTTGTGGAGATCCGACGTGGAGGGGATGTTGCTCTTGGTACGTGACAGCGGCGCATGTTCGCCAGCAGACATACGATTTCCGAAATCCAACAGAACACCGTCGCTCAGACTCTGAACCAGCAATCGCTTGACAGGAGCGATGGACATCTTGAAACCATCATCGGACTCGCCATGATTCGTGTCACCCTTCTCAGAAGGAGCGTCATCGCCGAGAAGACCCGGTGTAACGCTCAGCACACGCAGCAGCGATGCCGACGAATACAGTGACTCTAGTTCATCATTGCCAAGGGGATCATCACTGAATGCCCTCAGTGACACATTGCTCAACACTGACAGTGCTCGACTCCTCTCACCAAACGACGAGAGTTTCTCCCAGTCGCTATCCTCGCGTTCTTCCATCACCATGCTGGGCAGGCGAAGACGATTGCGATAGCTCAGCAGCAGAGCCGTCGACAGCTTTGTCCGCAAGAACGTCAGCTGCTCAGTGCTGAGGCGCTTCTCCGGCTGCTGTGGGCCGCGCCGCGGACTGCTGGGGTCGAGGCTCTGCTTCAGCGATGTCTCGTCATCGGCCAGGGCATCGGTGCCCGCATCACTGACCACTTCAAACTCGCTGTCACTCGCAACAGCACTGCTGTCCCGCTCAGCCTGCATAAGCAGTAAAAGAAAACACATCCGAATCCTCTAGGCTAGCGATGGCAATGGTGTACTGCAGGGATATCGATCAATCATATACACAGCCAACTATTGGACAATCATCTATGCCAAACAAACAATCCGGCCGTGGCTCCCAACTACATGTACCATGGCAGGCCTTTGCAAACACACACCAAGTCATACATGTACCATGGCAAGCCTTTGCAAACACACGCCAAGTCATTTATTGTTTGAAATATCTTGAGTTGATACTTGGAGACTTCTGCACCTCATGCCAGGGGCATTTAGACAGCAAGTACTCAGGCACTGAGTCAGTAACAGCAGGCCCAGCAAAACTGGTCCGGTCATATAAGGAGGAAAACTTCGACCCCCAACGTGTTTCGATGCTCAGCGAGGTCGTTTATGGCCGCCATACCATATACCGAGTAGGAAAAGCCAGTGCATGACTGAGCCAAACGGAACCAACTAGCGTCAGTCCTGAATGAATTGCTACTTTGGATGTTGTGCACCTTTTCACCAACACAACAATAAAACATCAAACATGCATACCATATTTCCCCATTTTTCCTTCCACTTTGGGGTTTCTTGTAGAAACGGGTGCGACTTACATTCAGAGAAATGCGATGGTTCAATAGTCAGTACGGATCAGAGACAGCACCGTGAGTGTGTGGACTTACCGCACATTGTATTCTGGCCAGGCTATCGCTGACGGAGGGTGGAACGTACTCGGGCACGGCCATGATGGATGTGATCTTGCCATCAGGCACAGCAATACAGGCCGACAGCATCGGTGAAGATTTCTCCATAGAAACCATACAGATCTGGAAACCATAGTCAAGAACGATGACAGATCAGGCCGATCATTGTAACTGAAATGTAAGATTTCCCATAGTGAAATCCTAGACGTTTACGTCGTGTACTGGATTCGACTCGGATGGAGAGCCAAGGCTTACTTTATAAGAAAGAAAAAGGAAGGCTGTTGGAGTGCGCATCCAAGATGTGCTAGAGCTGTTAGCCAGTTAGTTGTAGAACGTCAGTGCCGTCGGTCAGTGTCGTGCAATGTTATCGCATGAGCTGATTGTTTAGTAACTGGTGGTGTTAGTGGACATTTTAGCATAACTTGCAGTTCCTTGGTCCTTTTTCTTTCTTATAAAGTACTGGATTCGGATAGAATTAATTACAATTCTATTGCTTTAAAATAGAAACACAACTGAAAAACCGTCAGAATCATATTGCTAATTATAGCTGTCCCTAAATTCAGCTGGTTTACAGTAATCCTAACTCCATGACTAAGGCTTGCAGGTGCATTCAGCATGTCAACTTCAATACATCAGCTATAATAATAATAATACGTATCTGATATATTATTATAGCATGAGGTGCATGACCAAATCATATTTACAGTACTGCTCGATGACATTTGATTGTGTGAGTCAAGTACTAGTAGACGCCGGGTGATATGTAGCCCTAGCTAGACCTGCAAACACTGGACGTGAACTGGTGCACGGCGCAAACTCGACTCGCGCAATAAGATCTCATTACGCAGCACTGTATATGCACGACGAGCAACTGGCATGCACTGATTCTCCGCCTAACATCTCCCTAGGTCCTGGTCTCACCTGTCCGACATCTCTATCACTGGTGCAAATCCAGAGTTGCCCATTAGCCTTCGCATCCACAGCGTACGGCGTTAGTCTCCTGGCTCCAACACTGGGACTTGAGCATGTTATCTGCATTAGCAGTCAATGAATTAAGATCACCTTGCAACAATCAGCCAGCAGCATCAGTTACATGCAGAGTGCAATATGCATGTAATACTATAATGAATTCTTGTTGCAATGTCATTCATCCATGATCCAGTTCTGATGCTCGTGTGTGTGTGTGTGTGCGTGCGTGTGCGTGTGCGTGAAAAATAGGGATTCACTGGCCAGAAAAAGTCACTTCAAACAGCTGTGTGGTAAATACCAGGCTAAACATAGTGGCGGTCAATTCATCAGCCTTGCAAGCTGTTGAATGGTGTAATCCCAGCACAAGTTGCTATGTCTAACATAGCTGTTCGCTATCATCGCTTCCGCGATGGGCATGTCTGAGGTCTGAGGTCTGAGGTGGGTGGGTGCGTGGGTGGGTGGCTGCGAGTGCGTGCGTGCGTTTGTCTGTGTATGTGGTCCTGTAGCTGCCTTTCACAGATACACTGCTTGTAAGAGTCCATTTCTTATTCCCTTGCCTTACTCCTATCAGCCATGCATCCCCCGTCCCCTCTCCATTCCACCATTCAGCCCCCCTGTTCCCATTTCTCTGTTGCTCGCACATACCTGCATACCACTACGCGTCTTCAAGACTGGCATGGCTGCCGAGAAGGCCGGCAAAGGCATCACCGGCTGTGCAGAGTTCTCGTCAAGATCATCCGGAGTACACCAAGCCGAAGCGCCTCCCAGAGATGCAACTGGAAAGTACACCACAAGAGCATCAGAACAACAGAAATACACTTACTGGTAGGTCCCGTCAGGATGGTACATGTGAACTTTTACAACATCACATACCCATTCCCCCATATCAAGCTCAAGCTATAGCCCTGGCGGAATATCTAGTTCCAGTGCCTTGAGGCAAAACCAAACCAACTCATCTTTAGACAAAAGAGAAGAAAAAAAGGTCTTCCATGCACCTCCCTTTGGGCATCTGTAAGACCAATGACCTGCCGGGATGCACTGAAGTAAAGTGAAGATGGTTACTATGTAAGCGACTACCCTGCCATCAACAATTCCTGTTGTAGTGCATCAATAAGACTGAACCAGTAAACCCGAACTGGCCCTCTTTGAAATCCATATCATAGCTTACCAACAGTTTCCTTATTTTCAGAGAAGGCCACAATCCAATCAGTCTTGTCCTTCACCGTGGCAAATGCCATCTTGTGATCGATAAGACCTGATGACCTGGATCCAGAATACAAACAGTCAACAAATCAATCAAAGCGTGTGTTTGTGAAGTACATGTATGTATGGCTCCGAGGGAACCTGCAATCCTTTGCCAACGGGAGGAAACTAAATTCAAGACTTTTTAAAATGTCTTTCATGAGGCAGAGACTTAAAACAATCCTTATCTCACAAACAATTAAACTGTTACAGTAAAACCTGGTGTAAGCGACCTCTGTCTGGGTTTAGCGACCACCTGCTCTTAACCACCATTTTTCCATGCACCGACAGTTCTACACAGACACTGTGGGACCTGGTTCTAAAGACCACCTGGCTTTAACGACCGCTTTTGCTTGCACCGTGCGGTGGTCGCTTAAACCAGGTTGTACTGTGCTTTACTGAAGGTGTGAATCAAGCAATGTGCAATGAAACATCTCTCCTGCACAACATATCGGAAATGTTCAAATGTCCTCCTCTTTCAGCTTGACTGTATCCGAGAAGTAACTGAACATTCCCAAACTTACTTGCTTTCGATAGCAATGTGTAGCGTGGCCACATCACGGTCATGCTTCTGTTCGTCGATGACCATATTGATTTCCTTCAGCACTGCACCGATGCTGAGCTGCAGATTGTTGACTGCCGTTGACGCAGGCTTTGGAAGAACAACGCGGCCGGAAAGGCAGAAGATGACAGCCAGGGTCAGGACATGTACAGCAACAAGAGTCCAACTCCCTGATCACTAGTGATTAACCCTTTTCGCCAACAAGACATCTACCAAGGAGGCAATCACGGTACTGGTAATCCACGTGCTGTGCTAACTGGAACACCTGTCAATCACGGTACTGGTAATCCATGTGCTGTGCTAACTGGAACACCTGTCTTCATAGACCGGCAATTCCAACCCCTGGTCCATGCTTTACAATGCACTTGGACCTGTTTATAAAAAAAACACCTATCTTTAGAGACTAACCATCTCAAGCCCTGGGGCATGCTTTACCATACCCTTAGACATGTTACTCGTACAAGGACCACCTGTCTTTTGAGACCGGTTATTTCAAGCCCCGGTCCATGCTCTGCCATACACTTAGACCTGTTAAGAAAGGCCACCTGTCTTTTGAGACCGACACTCAAAGGCCTTGGTCCATGCTTTGCCATATACATGTACTTAGATCTGTTTAGGAAGATCACCTGTCTTTAAAGACCGACCATCTCAGGCCTTGGTCCATGCTTTGCCATACTAATGGACCTGTTGAAAGGACCACTTGTTTTTAGAGACCGGACTTCTGTGCACAATGGGCTGCTAGTACGAAGTTATAGCAGGATATTGGCACTGCAAGATATCTCACCCTTGCTATAGATAAACTGTTGCACAGCGAGTTCATCTGACTCAGGGCATTCAGGTCATCCTGCAGGCGTTGTAGTATCTCATTCGACTGTGTTTCCAGCATCTTATCTGTGAAGTGCAGAACAGAACAAGATTGGACCACACGATAGAGATGTTTTAAAAATGTTTTCGAATTTTTGACTTTCGAGCTGTTTTAAAAATCTCCTACAGAGCAGTCCAAATTTGAGCATTTCCTGTCACTTAGCATTCCATTTTTCGACAAGACAGCCGTGCGCAGCACATGTAACATCTGTGGATCTTGGAAGCATTGTGCACCGGTTCGTGACTGTACAAGGCGGACCACTGTGGAGTGGTTTAAGCATGCATGCTTGCAGCAACAAACAAGTCGGACTTTGGACTCCCCTCCCCGCCTTTCCATCAAACTTTGCGAAAGTTCAATTGAAGGTTCAGCTCTCAAACCCGATTTCTGGTCGAGAGCCAGTCACCCGACCCATAGAGAGGGAGACCGGGGAAGAGAGAGAGAGAGAGAGAGAGAGAGAGAGAGAGAGAGAGAGAGAGAGAGAGAGAGAGAGAGAGAGAGAGAGAGAGAGAGAAAGAGAGAGAAGAGAGAGAGAGAGAGAGAGAGAGAGAGAGAGAGAGAGAGAGAGAGAGAGAGAGAGAGAGAGAGAGAGAGAGAGAGAGAGCAGTGGAACAAACAAAATCCTGTGGCTTGGGTGTAAAAAAAACAAATATACAAAGCAATTGTGCCAGCATTACATGTCCAATCATGGACAAAACTGACAGCTGCCAGCTACAATAGGATGAGTACTCATGGAATGTCCCCTTCATCGTGACTGGAATCGGCACATGTACATACGTATATACGCACTTCCTTCGACACGCGTGGGCAATGTGTTCAGTTAGTCAATATTCCAGCGTAACTGAAGAAGCGGCATGTGAACTTCAATAGACCGAGCTGGATGAAATAATTACCTTTCTGGGACTGAATGACACAGACGTCCTGAAGAGGTGCTCGCCACATCAGCTTGTAGCGCACAACGTCCGGGTCTGTAAGTGTGCCAGAAGACCTACACAGCACCACGCACAATACATACATACATACATGCATGTACACAATAGCATATTACACCATAACTCGAAGTAGTAGGAACTACGGAAGAGTGTTATCTCGAGAGCCACTACTCAGACCAAGACAGGAAGAGAAAACAATGTCAGATCGGCTTACATCAGAAATAGTTTTGCATGTTCCTAACCGCAAGGCCTCTCTCACAGGAAGACCTGGCGGGAAGCTAACCTCACCAGCCTCAAGCCGTCACTGGCTAGACACCTCGTACACGCTCTGGCAAGCTAGGGCCCAAGGGGCAATGGCGTGCTCCACCTGTACAAGAGTGTCCTGCCAGGACGTATTCACTCATGATGACAGACTTGCCGGGAAACTCACATCCAGATTGGAATCTGCGGCACTATATTCTACGTGTAAACTCACATTGACATGGCCATGGGCTTCCTGTTGCCAGTCCGCCGTCTCATCGTGGCGCAGACAATGCAGTCATTGAACAAGAACAGCCATCGCTCCTTGTAGCCAGACTTGGCCACCTGCTCGGATATCCTATCCCGACGCACCAGGTAACGGTCGGCAGACATTAGCTGCAAGGTCCAAATCACAGCACACTTACAGTTACTCACCCCAGATCAAAGTTGCAAGAACACAAGTTATGGGTTTCAGTTGCATTTTCTTTTCATAAATTTTGGATTTAGGGAATTGTGTGTCGCTCCCTAAGTGGGAGCTCGCGCTTTTCCTGCCCACTTGAATCTCACTTGACTGACTCACGACTGCCATCCAGAGCACACGAGAAATCCATTGAACCTTCCACTCAGCAAACCTGCAAGAAAGCACCACTCCCTGCTCAATACACAATATTTCGGAGAAATCACCCCTCATCAGTTGAGCTTGAGTAGGCTAATGAAATCTGTGCTCAGAGAGCATTGTATTATGTAGTGCTCTCCGAGCCAAAACATCACAAGGGATACTAACTTACAGGGACACTTCGTTTCCAGCACGACAAACACCTCGCGAACTCCAGACAGCAGCGTGAGTCAGTGTCGCTCATGGAGGTGCAGAACAAGCGCTGAGGACCGTTGGTCATTCGCAACGTTGTTGCCTCCTAACTATCTAGCGTGACTCTGAGTGACTAGATGGTTTGGAGGCGACAACGTTGTGAATGGCCAAAGGTCCCCAGCGCTTGTTCTGCACCTCCATTAGCGACACTGACTCGCGCTGCTGTCTCAGTGGAGTTTGCGAGTTGTTTGTCGTGCTGAAAACAAGTGTCCCTGTAAGTTAGTATCCCTAGTGGTGTTTTGGCTCGGAGAGCACTACATAATGCAGTGCTCTCTGAGCACAGATTTCATTAGCCTACTCAAACTCAACTGATGAGGGGTGAATTCCCCCCAAAATACTGTGTAATGAGCATGGAGTGGTGCTTTCTTGCAGGTTTGCTGAGTGAAAGGTTCAATGGACTTCTCGTGTGCTCTGGATGGCAGTCGTGAGTCAGTCAAGTGAGATTCAAGTCGGCAGGAATAGTCGGCAGGCATAGCGCAAGCTCCGGCATAGGGAGCGACACACAATTCCCTAAGTATCACCAAAATCGCACCTACCTCTTCTTAACTTTGGATTTAGTTGCATTATTCTATTCAATGATTTATGATAGTATTTTTGCCCGAACAAGAGGCTTGCTTTCATTAAAGAAAAATACAAGTACACTACTCTCCAAACAATCCATGCACATGGCTAGTTTAATAGCCATCAAATATAGACTTCTTTCAAAAGTGCAGGGTTCTCAATTCTACCTCACATTGCACAATATGTCAGCATTAAGTCAAGTGCAGTGTAAGTAGCGTGGGTACAGCCCACAGCATCAGAGACAAGAAAGAAGTGGAAGGCATTTCATAATACGTAGGTAAAGACAGCTGAATGCTTATGCCGAGGGGGGGGGGAGAGAGAGAGAGAGAGAGAGAGAGAGAGAGAGAGAGAGAGAGAGAGAGAGAGAGAGAGAGAGAGAGAGAGAGAGAGAGAGAGGAGAGAGGGAGGGAGGGAGGGAGAGAGAGAGAGAGAGAGAGAGAGAGAGAGAGAGAGAGAGAGAGAGAGAGAGAGAGAGAGAGGGGGGAGGGGAGAGGAAGGGAGAGAGAGAGAGAGAGAGAAAGAGAGAGGGAGAGAGAGAGAGAGAGGGGAGGGAGGGAGGGAGAGAGAAAGAGAGAGGAGAGAGAGAGAGACCATCAGGCAGTGTCAAACTGCTCATCAGTCATGCAGTGCACCAAACACTAAATCAAGTGCAGTGTAAGTAGCGTGGGTACAGCCCACAGCATCAGAGACAAGAAAGAAGTGGAAGGCATTTCATAATACGTAGGTAAAGACAGCTGAATGCTTATGCCGAGGGGAGAGAGAGAGAGAGAGAGAGAGAGAGAGAGAGAGAGAGAGAGAGAGAGAGAGAGAGAGAGAGAGAGAGAGAGAGAGAGAGAGAGAGAGAGAGAGAGAGAGAGAGAGAGAGAGAGAGGGAGGGAGGGAGGGAGGGAGGGAGGGAGGGAGAGAGAGAGAGAGAGGGGGGAGGGGAGAGGAAGGGAGACAGAGAGAGAGAAAGAGAGAGGGAGAGAGAGAGAGAGAGGGGAGGGAGGGAGAAAAGAGAGAGGGAGAGAGAGAGACCATCAGGCAGTGTCAAACTGCTCATCAGTCATGCAGTGCACCAAACACTAAATCAAAAGCTGAACTAGTCATGGATATGTGTGGCTCACCCCAGGCAATGCCCCTTGGAAGCAGAGCTCAATCTTGCGCATGTCGTCCAACTGATCGGCATGCTTCACTCCACGGTCCAGCTTGTCTGCCAAGGACTCTACTTCGGCAAATGCTGACAGGAGCAGACCATGGTCAGGGTGGTCTGGTGGTGTGTAGTGTTGTAGGTCCTAGAGGAGGACACCGGTTCGGGGGCAGATCATATAAACAGCAATGGTGGTGATAGCAATGCCGACAACAATATCGCACCAACAAGAATTGACCGAAGATGCAAATTCGAGTGATTTTTCATTCTTTTTCTTTTTCTTTTCCAGTGATGGGTGTAGCCCAGAGAGTGCTGTGGATATGTATGATTAACAAGAACACCAGGACATACTTTCAAGTTCTGTTTTCTCCTAATATGTTCCGCTGATGAAAATTGACAGAACTTACTCAATACTACACCACTATAAACTTCCTCTTCAAGCGTGATTGACGGTGGAAAAACGTTACCATAGCTGATACATGACTGATGCGGTCCTTACAATCATACAATAGCCGCCTGAGTGGCCAATAAAATGCAGAATCTGTCCTGGGAGTTTTTGTTCCATTAATTTATACACACACACACACACACACACACACACACACACACACAAGACTGCGGGGGGGGGGGGGGGGGCAGCAATGTGCTGATGTACGTGACCGGATTCCATAGTCCAATGCTTTGCACCCTGCATGGTTTTTCGTAACCACTGAATGCAGGAAAGGAGACCGTACCTTGATCAGCAAACCATAGCGTGGTATTCTCTGCACTGGCTTCACAAGTAGGTCAGACAGTGTTTGCTTGCCTTCATTCTCCTTGTTTCGACTCTAAACACACACACACACACACACACCATTGGACGCCCATCGCCGGAGGCGATGATAGCGATGCTACAGCAGAAGCCATAGCAGCTTGTGCTGGGATTGCACCATTCAACAGCTTGCAAGGCTGAAGAATTGACCACCACTATTCAGCCTGGTCTACACCACACAGCTATGAAGTGGCTTTTTCTGGCAAGTGAATCCCTACTTTTTGGTCTTTTTTCTTTTTTTTCTTTCCTTTTTTTCATTTTTCATTTTTTTTCATTACACAGAAACATGGGCAGAATCACACATGCCCACAGAGCACACTCTCATGCTAGTACATTGCATACTCCCAACGTTACAGCAGGTATCATTATTCATCGCCCGTTCGGACGCCTCCCGCAGCTTCTTATAAGAACTTTTAAAACGTGTTTTGGGCAGACCGCCACAACTCAAATTCTTGCTGCTATTCATTTACGAAAATGAAGTGGACAAGTGATTGGCAGTGCATGTTAGACTTGTGGTGGTCTGCCCAAAACCAGGTCAAGTTCATCATTATACAGTCGAGTTCATCAGGGAAATCCAGCCAAATCAAAGTCAGCGCCCTGCAGCATATAAGATAAAATAGTTATCTGTGCACAGTCCAGTGTTTGCCACGCCAGGGCTGCACTGTGCCGGGGGGGGGGGGGGGGGGGGGTGGTGGTGGTGGGGGGGGGGGGAGGGGGTGGTGGCTGCCTTATTATTATCAAGTACTAGAAGACGCATTTCAGCAAGCACACGCCTACAGTTGGGAGTGCTTGGCAACGTTAACGGGCTAACCTTACCAACAACCCGTAATGACGGCACTTCACTTTAGCATTATCAAACACATCGGGATACTGGAGGCAGTGATGGGGCTAATCAAGAACCCGCACGACTCTTTACCCGTCACTGCGGCACACACAGAAGATAGGTGGAAGCATAGTATCCCCCGCACATGCACACACCTCCTCACCTCTATAAACTTGATAAGAGGGCGACACGTTGCCGCATTGCGTAGCGTTTCCTGAGAATGCTCATAGTTGATCACATACGACGAGTAGGCTTCTGCGAGCTGACCAAACGAAAACTATACGACAACACAGCAACAGGGGATAAGAAGGGTCTGGTTCCTTGTCACTGGTGCAGGCAGCCAGGCACTGTGCAGTGTAAAGAGATTATTCAGATGATGGCAGGGAGTCGTGAATGTACTACTGTCTATGTTCACATTATAACGACATCTAGGCATTTTCTCGCTTCACAAGTGTCCGTTCCATATATGGACAATAAGAACTATACTCTTTTAACCTGAGCAAACCGAGTCATCTTTCGACATCCTCAATTCCTCCCCTTGATCGTTAAAATGGGTATGGTGCAAGAACAATACTTCCAGCCTAGTAGGGCAAGAGCCCCGACCTGCCACTTTTCACCTGATCTCTCCAACTACAGTACATTGCAGATACGCACTGGCCACGCATGCAAACACCTGCTTGTGATTGGTGTGCAGTTCCATTGACACATTGCCACAGTCTAGCCCGCACTCACAGCACTGGTTATGATGTCGCCAATGGTCCTCGCCTCAGCGTCCTCCTTTGTCCAGGAGTCGGCCCTGTTCTTCAGGTCAAAGTAGAGCTGGTTGTGATGCAGCATGATCAGGGGAATGTCACCAAAGATGTCCGCCACCATCTGCTGGTCAATGTTGTTCATTCGGCGCAGCGGGTTGAAGTAGTCCTTGCATAGCGTTTGCAGACTGGTCAGGTAGCTGTGCTCCGTTTCCAGAAGCGTCCAGACCACATGCTGGCGATAATCCTGCCGCAACCAACACATATAAAGCAGTGCACACACACACACACACAAGTCCAGGTGAACACCTAGTTAGAATTTTTAGATAACTTTTCTTTCGTTGTGCACAAGATGTAAGGTGCAGAAATGGATGCTATAGTGCTGGCAGCTGAAATCCGCTATCCCTAGAGCGGTGTGCTCGCATTGCAATGACCCAGCACAGGATTGTAACACTAGGAAATAGAGACCGCTAGAGTCGGTGCGGCACTCGAGCACGGAAATCAGGGGTCGGATTTCAGTTGCGACCACTGTAGATTGCAATCAGCCCACAGGCAACAGACACAGTGAGAATCATACCGACTGGTACCTAGTGGCAAGAAGCCCTCCGTAACACAACACAGCCGCAGCCCGAAATAAGTTTGCCGCACAGCGTTAAAGGGGAAGTATACCCTAAAATCAAATTTTCACCAGTTGTAGTCTTCTGGGTGCTGAGTCGAATGGTCTTGGTCCGAGGAAGCTGCGACGCTCCCTTCCTACTTGAATCCCAATCGAACTCGCGCACTTCCACCGAAACTGGGTGACTGCGCCCTACTAGATGGGGATTTGTATGCAAAATGTCACTAAAAGCGCCATTTCGTTCTTATAAAAGCACGGATGACCGCGATTGGCCCATATGTTGTAGTCTTTTGGACGCTGGGTCGACTGGTTTTGGTCCGAAAAGGCTGCGATGCAGCGTTCCTCCTTTATTCCCAATCGAACATAGTTGAACAAGCGGTCACGTGCTCCTGGGTGCCCAAATCACCTGGTCACCGCGCCAGCAGGCGACAACTTTCACACCAAGGTTCAACTCGAGTTCAACTCGAGTGACAGGACTGCACCCAAAAAAGGTCAAACAGGCTAGTAAGTTGTACCCTGCAGGCACGGTGACCAGTTGACTGGTGTACGCAGGAGCACGTGACCACTTGTTCAACCATGTTCGATTGGGAATAAAGGAGGAACGCTGCATCGCAGCCTTTTCGGACCAAAACCAGTCGACTCAGCGTCCAAAAGACTACAACATATGGGCCAATCGCGGTCATCCGTGCTTTTATAAGAACGAAATGGCGCTTTTAGTGACATTTTGCATACAAATCCCCATCTAGTAGGGCGCAGTCACCCAGTTTCGGTGGAAGTGCGCGAGTTCGATTGGGATTCAAGTAGGAAGGGAGCGTCGCAGCTTCCTCGGACCAAGACCATTCGACTCAGCACCCAGAAGACTACAACTGGTGAAAATTTGATTTTAGGGTATACTTCCCCTTTAAGCAGTGTCCAGTTTCACACAGTCTCTTCCACAGCAGGAGCGCTTACCTCATTCGTCAGTTCATGCTTGCTCTTAGTGGGTGGCTCGAGAATGGTGCGCGGCACTGATGTACAGATGCCAGAGTCTATCTGGCTGGGATCCACCACCACACGACCACCGCCGTATTCACCATCTTTAGACCCGCTGGAGAAGGACAGGGTCTCCGATGACATATACTGTCGGCCACCATTGACGCCAGGTGGCACGAGCGAATGCTTAGCAGCGGCTGCAGCTGCATCACTATTGATCTGCGTGCTGTTCTTGCGCACTCCGACTATGCTCAGCAGGTTGGAAAGGGAGCGAGATGGAGAGTGCGACTCGGGCGCGAGAAGACTGTTAGAGACGGCGTTTGTATGAAAGCCAGGTATGGAGAGGCGCTGAGAGGAGGCACGGCGTACAGAGCTGGCGGCCAGCATTTGCCTTCCATCACTGTAAGAGAAACCGTCACCGGGTCCCAGCGTGTAGCCTCGCTCCAGCGAGGCAGACCAACTCGGCGATATGGGAATGCCCTTGCCGCGTATTGCCGAAAAGTCCATATGCTGCGCGACGTCAAACGTGGTGCCCTCCACGGATTTAGAGCGTTCTGCGCGAAGAAGCCGCTTACCTGGTGGCAGATGGCGTTTCGTGACTACGGGTGCAGGCACCGCTGGTGTGTTATTATGATCCTCACCATCTCCAGGCGGATTGATACGCACCTCGGGTGCGTTAGGGTGCTTGCTCTTGCGATTGTCACACGCGGCCAGAGCCTTCCAAGGCGGCTCTCCGGACTGTCCTGGCGATACAGTGCCCTGCGGGCTCTCGGAGTCATTCCTCAAATTGCCGATGTGATGTTTAGTACAATTAGATTGGATTTGGAATGGAGGCCTTGCTTCACTGTTGTCCGACGTCACTATAATACCATCAAGTGACTGACTGGAGCCAGAGTATCCGCCAATAGACACAATGTCACCCGGTGTATACTGGTCATCGTCCGACACTACATAAACCATATCATTGCCATCGTCACCGCCGCCTGCTGCAAGTGAAGTTTCTGCCCGAGGTCTCCGCTCTTCTGCGCCAGCTTGCTTTCCTGGCTGCTCAAGACCATTGCTACTGGCTGGGTTGCATTCACGTGTATGCCCACCGCTCCGGGTACCAGTTCTCGGCTTTGGCCGCTTGCGTGAGCCCAATCTAGTGCGAAGCATGTCCATGCCTCGGCGCAGCGAGATCCTCACGCTGCCTTGTCGCTTCAGCTCAACAGGATGTGGTGCAAGCCCGGAATGCTTTTTGCTAACGTTGTTGTGGGCAGAATCGTGTTTGGGCAGCGCTGCCGCAGAACTCTCTGCCAAAATTTCTCCCTGCTCTGCTGATGAAGGGCTAGTTGATGAAGACTCGTTACAGCCAGAAGCAATCGAGTTCTGGATAGAGACAACGTTCCTTTGATTGGCTGTCACTGCAGGCAGTGTTATACTTCTGATAGGACTGAGTGTGCGATGTACACCCATGTGATTCTGAGTCGTGCGCTGCCCTGTGCGATGGCTGCCTCTCTTTTCCCCGTTCGGATGTGTCCGCATCGAAGGAAAGATCTTGCGTCCGCTGCTCTCTTCCCACTCGCCAGCGGACGACCGCGACGTGACCGACTTTCGTTCTGTCGTTGGCTCACGTAGCGTGCTGCCGCTGCTGCCATGTCGGAACAAACGATGCCAGAAGCGGGACAAGGCATTGCGCTTTTTGCTGCCGCGAGCTCCAGCCTTCCTTCCAGCTGCACGTGCAGTACTGCTATTGTTTGAAGTGCTATTGTCCGCAGTTGTCATACCTCTGGCCAGGTTGAGAGAACTCCGGCCGCGATAATGATGATGATGATGATGCTGCGCTTGCTTTTGCGACATGGCTTCAGTGCGCGATGAAAAGAGTCCCTCTGCACTCATCTGGGACTGCAAGAGCTGGAAAGGTGTGGGACTGACCTCGGCTGCCTGAAGAGATTTTTCTGATGCATAGCGTGCCCCAAGAGCCACGCGATGGTCTATGGCGAAGCTGGACGATGCAGGAGCGAAGTCTCCTGATGCACACGACCATCGTCTATCACGTGGAGCTGCTCTTGTTTCTCTCAGAGAGGATGACTTGCGGATGGCAAGTGCTTGCCTAGGTGGACTGGGCACAGCCTTGAGTCGTTGGTGGTTGGGCAGAGAACTCGTCCGCGTGTTGACTTTCGGCAGCTCACTTGTCGAAACATCTTCACATTCTTGTGCGGAGGCAGCGCTGGTTCCATTTTCGGCTGCAGTTTCTGACGGCTGTTGCCAGTGTTGGACAGTAGAAATGGCATTTGGAGTGCGATTTTGGGGTAGACCTACGTAACGACTGGTCACCGATACGTTTACCGGTATGCCGCCGTTCGCTTTGGCCGTTACATGAGAGCCAGCAGTGATACTGGCGCTTTCAGTGACTCTTCTGTGCTCTGCAACTGAGCCATGCAGCAGCATAGTCCGTTGGAACTCCCCGCCGTCCTGGGTTGAACCAGCAGCAGCAGCAGCATTTACACAATCTGTACCACTGCTATCCGTGGGCCGAGATCCAGCCTCACTCAGGAGCAAATGCTGCTTTTCTTGCTCCTGGCCTGGGGGGCCCTGACGCGACTGCGACTGCGACGGGGAGTGGGTTTGTGCGGTCTGCAAGTCTGCGTGAGCACTGGAGCTAGATGTGAGTAGAGATAGTGACGGTACAGTGACGGTGAGCAAGGCAGGAATAGAGCGACTGACGTCTCGACGCTTCTCCAGCAGCAGTGACGGGGAGTCGACAGGCGGATATCCGCGACCCGTCACCGATTCCCTTTGTGTTTCAGTTTGTTGTCGGTTGTGCACGCAGCTAACGTTAGCAGATCGACTACTGGTGGAACTCATCCAACTGGTGACGCTGTCCGTGATACGCAACGGCTTATGCTCAGCGAACACTGTACTGGTAGCCAGAATGTCTCTTGCAAGTCGCCCAGCAAATAGGTGCACTCGATCTTCGCCGTCACCCCTGCCGAAGTCCAGAATGTCGTCCAGCGAGCGAAAATGGACGCTGAAGTTGGTGATTTCCTGAGCTTCGCTCACCTCCTTGCCGTTCCGATCCAGGTGCTCCTTTGGCTCATCCGACGTCAGCATTACATGGGATGGAAGGAACACTGCTCTGTCACGTCGGTGGCACTCAGTGGGCTAGCTGATGCTTGGTGTTCACACCTTTTATTTCCTCACAGTACAGTCACACTCAGACTCGTGCGATGATTAGCCTACACAAGGGTGTTGATCAGCTGATTTCGGATCGGTAGCTAGCTGCCTATCGCCTTGCCACTTCGCTTGAATCGGTTCCAGCTTCACTCACATCATGACACCGTCACCACGAGGAACAATACATTATCGTCACGGTGCCGCGAGGGGGAATCTGAGAGATTATCCCGAACCGAGTGACAGAGAGTAACCCGACGCTACTGACTCAGCTTTCTATCCTCAGATAACACTGCACAGTGGGGTTTTTTTTTAGAAACGGTGGCCGCGTGGTGGCAGCAGCACCGGTCAGTACACCATGGGCATGGTGAACGGGAAGAAGATATCAGGGACTGAAGGCTAGTGTCGTAGTGAAGCACTAGACTAGACTAGAGCCTAGATGGTAGATCATTTCTACACACCGAAGGGCCGCTTTGTTTCTTGGTTCATTCGACGATCGATCGAGTCTGGTCAGGTGACGGGTAAGCGCTTCACTACAGTCTTCAGTGATTGGAGAGCAATCGCATAGGGAGAAGAACGTCACTAAAAATGTTCTTGCTTGTTTGCCGCTAGCAGAAGGGAGACTACGATGTTCGCAGTGTCACCTTGTATCGGCGTGCACACGTTCGAGACGTAGCTGTGTGTAGTCTTTTGGAGAAGTAAGTAAGTCGTTGTAGGCCGACTTACATCTAGGCCCGGGTGTCGGGGAGAAACGGTGCTGCACGCTGGCCTGATCAAGAACAACTTATCCAGCGCCATTAGAGTATTCGATACTGCAGTGCAGTGCCTTGGCAGTGCAAACTTGAAAAAGAGCTGAAGTCGGAGTCCCGGCCTTGTTCACGGCACGGCCAGCAGCTGTCGTCAATTTGCTGTATGCGCGCAGGTTTACAGACACCAAAGCCTGTTGGACGGGCAATGATCAGCCGCGATACTCCTGCTGCTTCCTGCAAGAGTATGCCTATCATCGCTTAGCAATCGACTGGCTCGTTCACAGAGAA